CCCCTTCTTCAAGAAAACACGGTATACTTGATCTAGTACATTCAGATGTGTGTGGTTCTATGAAGACAAGAACTCTGAGTGGTGCCTGTTATTTTGTAACCTTCATAGATGATTGTTCAAGAAAGTTATGGGTGTACATTTTGAAGAGCAAAGATCAAGTGTTAGAGGTGTTCAAACAGTTTCAGGCTCTAGTTGAACAACAAACTGGGAAGAAATTGCGATGCATCAGAACAGATAATGGGGGAGAGTATTTAGGTCCTTTTGATGAGTATTGCAAGCATCAAGGCACTCGACATCAAAAGACACCTCCCAAGACTCCTCAATTGAATGGTTTGGCTGAGAGAATGAACAGGACTGTAGTTGAAAGAGTAAGATGTCTTCTTTTGCAGGCTCAGTTGCCAAGATCTTTCTGGTTGGGGTCCATTTAGGAGTAGGTTTGTTAAGTGGTATCAGAGGGCTCCAAAACATCCCAAAAAGGCTTCTCTCGTAAATTTGTAATACAGAAGACTTCTTTGGCAATTGATAATCTGGTCAAGGGAAAACAGCTTCTCCAAAAGGGGAACCTCCGTTTCTAAGTTCTAACACTAATCGTCCCAGGTCCTTTCCCCTAGTGGCGAAATCCTCCCCCTCTTCAGCCCTTAAATAGCTCACCCATTTCCATTAAAGGATGTGATCCTAAAACAATTAATCGGGCTCTAGATGCCAACCCAAATTACAATGTTCAAACTTCTTTCAGTTCTTCATACCTTGATGCGTCGCTCAGATCTGCACTACCTATCGAAGGGCATCCAAGAGCGATGATTAGTAGCAGCTATTGCTACTGAGGGTTTGGTATCAGAACTCAGCGCTATTGCTACTGAGGGTTTGGTAGCAGCTGCATACTGGCGAGGTGTAGGATGAATAACCGCTTCAGAACAAAGAAGCATGGATTTTTTTTTCAAGTAAAACTTTGAAAAAATTGAAAACTAGGGGTTTTTCATCAGTTGAGTTTTATTTTGAAAATTTAATAAATAGTGAAAGGCAGATTCGACATTTTGTTTTCTTCCATTAGCATTTAAGGACAATGTCAATTGTTATTAGAAAACTTAAGAATATCTGAAGACAATATATAAACAATAAAGATACAATTTCTCAATTTAATAGTTTAAGAGATTTACCTTAATAAAAAAGATAAGGTTTTGTATTTATACTCCTTCCAAACTGAGCAAAAGTTCTAAAATGAATTGGTTCATTAAACATCTTCTTATGGGTAGGAAAGCTAAGATTGAACCGGAAGCCTAAGGTTGCAAAACTGCACCTTCCAGTTAAGCCATAGGCTTGATTGGCCAATGCCAGGCTACCAACCATCTTAGCAATAATATGTAAGATCCACAATGATAGATCTCAAAAGAATTAAGATTGTAAGGGAATACAAAAAGGAAGAATTCTTTTTTCTTTTTAGCAACACAGGAACAGATACCATCTACCATGTTTATGATCAAAAAAGTGTCAGATCCACCATATAACTTGGGGAGAAAAATGCTGATAAAAAAATTTTGGGAAATCCAACTGTGGTGCATTCTAAAGATTTTACGCCACGTTACATCAAAATTTCAACCAATGATAGACTAACAATTTGTCACTGTATCATTAGTTCATTTGGTTCACTCAAGTTTAAGGTATGTTGCAGCAATTTCCATAGAATTCGTCATTGATTTTGTTTTTAGACTCGGTTTTGAAGGGATACAAATACAAATACTTAGAATTCAAAACCTTAGATTTTGTATTGTTATAAGGCTCAGTTTGGAAAGAGCGCAAATACAAATATGTAAAGTATAAATACATATAAAATACAAGGTTTTGTATTCCTTCCAAACTGAGCCTTAAACTTTACAATTTAAAGATTCTGCTTTACCTTATTCATCACAGGAGGGAAGTCGATTTGATCATCACAAAGCATTCCTCACATCAATCTCAATTTAAAGATTCTGCTTTACCTTATTCATCACAGGAGGGAAGTCGATTTGATCATCACAAAGCATTTTTCACGTCAATCTCATAGTACATTGCAGCCATGCATTGTGAACATCTCCCCATGAATGACGACACAAGTACAACAGATGTTCCTGCATGTATGGCTGCAGCAAGTGCTGTGAAGTTGGTGTGAGGAGCAAATCCAGATTCCACAGGAGGCTTATCACACAATCCATTGTTGGATCGCCAATGGGAGTCCAGATCTGCTCCTCAGAGTGCTCACGCCAATCTCAGAATGCATCCCTGTTGCACATTGGAAACATCTCTCGTACTTTGTTGTTATTCATGGGGAGATATTCTCAATACATAGTGAGATGGGGCTGTGAGGTGCACTTTGTGAGGAGCAAATCCCGATTCTGCCAATGAGAATGTACATTCAAGCATGTAATTACAGAGTGCAGCGTGGATTCAATGTGTAGTGTGTATTTACATGCTCAGATCTAGAAACCACTAATAGTAATGAAATCGGATTTGGTCCTCACAAGACCATGCTCACAGTCTCTTGCGGCCTTGCACCGGAAATTTCTTCCCATGAAAACAAAAGCATACAAGCATGAAAATATTCTCAATGACGGCTGTAAAAAGCTGTGCAAACAGTGTGAGAACTGAAGCCAATCTCAATAGTAATGGGATGGCGCCAATGCCACCTACACTTCCACAAGTTATAATAGCACCTTTTCCTTGCTATACAACTTCTCTATCAAAATTCTATAATTTCTTTTTAGCAGTTTTATTTTAAGCAACTACTAGTGGGACCCGTGCGATGCATGGGATTTGTTAAGTTAAAGATAAACGATAAATGATTGAAACATGTAAGAGTATACAATTGTTTTATATAATAATTAATAATCATTTATATTTTATATACTATTTTTAATATTTTTTTACAATACAAAAATAACAACAATTAATTTTAGATAGGGTTTTTATCAAACTTATGGATGGCAATTTTTCCATTTCCCTGCCCGTTGGTGGGGACGGTGCGGGGACAGGGAGAGCACTCCTTGCCCCGTCTAGACCCTGATCCCTGCCCCATGGGATCCCACTAATATATATGTATATATACGCATATGTTTATATATGTATATATTTACACATACGTCTATATGTTAATATTGGTTGAATATGTTTGAATCTTTTCTAATAGTATTGTAAATTTTAATTATTCTATTTTTATTTTTTAAATAAAATAACAAACAAAAACATAATGGTTGACATTATGAAGAATCGCGGGAAGTGGGGATCCTATGGGATGGGGACGAGGACGTGGATGGGAATTTTCGTGGGGATAGGGATGGGGAGAGGCTCCTCGTCCCCACCTTGCCCCGTTGCCATTCTGAATCAAACTAATAAAATTGTTAACTGACCAACCCGATTTTTAGTTATTTCCAGTCGGCTTTGGTTCAACAATTTCCCAACCCAACTAGGTTGGATCAATTTTTCTTTGGCTATTTGTAAACTGATTAAAATCGAATGACCCAACTATAGATATATATTAATATTTTATATTTTAAATATATTTTTTTAATACAAAAAAATGGGAAAATTCTAATATTTCTTAGGCTAAAATAGTTTATATCATAAATTTAATTTTTTAATTTATTTTTTTAATAATGCCATTGTAATTTTTTTAATTTAAGCTTAATGTGTTTAAATCTTTTGAACCGATTGACCAAACTGAAAATTGACCCAAACTGATATAACCTAAGTGACCAACCCCCCAACCTAGCCAAGTCGATTTGGGGGCCAAACAACCTACAACTTGAACCAAACCAACCCGTGAACAATAGTTTAATCTCCAATAATTATTAAAATTTTATAGCGAAAATACACAATAAATTAAATTTAAAAAAACTAAATAATAGTAGTTTAAACTCCAATAATTATTGAAAATTTTCTATTAAATAACAAAACAAAAATAGATTTATACATAATTACTGAAAATATATTTATCACAAAAAACAATAAATATTAATTTTTTGTATARATAAATATATAATAAATAAAGATTAAGTTTTTAAAATTATTATTAATAAACAATAATATTTTGGAAAGTTATTTTCTAAAATTATTAATTGGTATAATTGAAATTAGTTATTTACAATATTATTTATTTATTGAAATAATATCATTATTTAAAATTTTAAAATATTTATTACTTGTTGAATTTAATAATCCATAAAATTATAGTATTATTAATACATAATTTTGGTATTTTAACTATTTAAAATCTAGTTATGTTTTATATTTTGTTATTTAAAATATTTAGTTATTTAACTAAATATTTAAAATCTTAATCTATTTATTATAATTGAAAGTTATTCAATAACTATTTAAAATATATTATTAATTGATTTAAAATATTAATTTTAATATTTTGTTATTTAAGATATTTAGTTATTGAAATATTTAAATAAAGATTTATATTATTTGAATAACATTTAGATTGAATAATCCAGAAAATCATAATTTATATTATTTATACATAATTTCATGATGAATTTTGCAAAAAATATATAATTATTAATAATATGAATATTATTAAATTTATTATAATGATTTTGTCTTTTTAATAAATATTTTAAAGTTATTATATAATTTTGTTAAAATATTTAAATAATTCTTTTTTTTTAATTTAAACTTTGTTTAGATAGATGTAGATAAAAAGTGAGGGAGAAGATACATAAGATTAGAGATAATTTAGGAGAAAAACTCTCTACTAAATTAGAGATAACTCAGGAAAAACTTGGGCATAGTGGGGGAGGTTGTTTAGGAGAAATTTTAGGATATTAGATTATTATTATGTTATTGCAAGGTGTGGGAGAGAGAGAGAGAGATTTTAGGAAAATTCTTTTGAGAAAAATAGAGTTTCTAATTTATAGTTTCGAAAATGACATGAATTAAAAAAATCAAAAAAAAATCAAAAGAGGAGAAAATTTAGCCTTCCCTGTTTTAATAGTGGCAATGATAACTGCAACAGACCTGGATTAAGTACACAATAGGAATGAATAGGCGCTTCCTTGATAAATGCATCTATACATATATTACAACATAATTTATCAAACATCCCTGTTGTCAATATGAAATCCTGCTTGCAAAATGTACTACGATTCATCAGGCTTGGGTTCAAGGGTTACAGGTATTTTCTCTTTGTGGTCACCACGCAGTACTTCCACAATCACCTGAAATTCAAGAAACAAAAGCTAGGTAAATAAACCTCAATAAGGATCAGAATTTACTCAACAAGTACATGGTTCCTTCGGCTGCGTTTTGTTGTAGTGCAAATAAATTTGTACTGATGCAAAACTATGGTAGTGCAAATGATTTAAGTGTAAATTCTGATTTATTTTTGTTTCATATCTTACCTTACTTTGTTTGATTGTAGAATAAATGAAGTATAAATAATACCTGAAAGAGAATAAGGTAAAACCTAAAATAAAATTAAACCAAAATTTGCATTCTGGTTAGATTAGCATCCTGGTTATCAGTCCTTCCTGAGTTTTGAAATCAGAATGTATTGCTGATGCTTAAGTCAGTCAGTGTATGGGATCTCTGATCTCTTTATGAGGGGGAGCTGATCAATAAAATTTACTTTACCTGTTTCAAAAAAAAAAATTGCATTCTTTTCATTTGCATTCCCATGCATTTGTGCTAGTGTAAATAAGATTGCACTGCAACCAAACACAGCCTTCAGGACAAATTTTGATGCATAACATTTCCAAAGGTTTCTGAGAGCAAATTTTTTATGTTGTTTCTTTTCTTCCCTCTCCAACAGTTTGGGTTATCAGTTACAACATTTTTCCCTCTTTCATTGCACAATTAGTTGAGAATTGTTTCAATTGCCCCAAGGTGTTGCATGTTTTATGCTGCTTCTGTGCCCAAATTTGTAACAGCAGGCCAAAATAGAAGAGATAAAGGTCAAGGACAAGAACTTGGCATCTTACCTGATCTCCCACTTTACATTGGTCAAGGATTCTGTACAAGTCGGTCCCATTAGTAACCTTTTTCCCATTCACAGATGTAATGATATCCCCCAAAATAAGTCTGCCGTAGGTATCTCTTTTAGTTGGTTGAAGACCCTGCAGGAGAGAGAAATCCATTGTGTTAAAATGCAATCCATTCATTGTAGGTTATAGGGCCAAGAGAAAACATTCATCCAATTCAAAAAGGGGCAAATATTTCAAATGTATAACGCACAAAAAAAATCGGAAATAGTTATATCACAAGGGAAAATGGCATACCGCTTTGCCAGCTGGACCATTTGGGGGTGCATCCAAAACAAGAACCCCACTAACCCCAAGCTGCTCGACAGATTGATCAGGTGCAAACTTGATTCCTAAAATGGGTCTAGTAACTTTCCCATACTTCACCAACTGGTCAACAATTCCACTGACCTGTAAGGGTGGAAGCAGACAAATGATTCAATTGCAAATTAGGGAAAGGGGGAGTTTCCAATCATCCAACATTAAGATCAAAAGTACTAGTGGCCTAGTTAGAATCAATCTTGGCACATCATTTTAGTAGCCTGGATCTATGATCGGGGTCATGGCACAGCATATGAGAGGTCCACAACAATAGCTGGATCATCTTGATGGAGCACTAAGTGCTCATATCAATATCTAGACCATTTGGATGGCCCAGATCACTGGTCTGATCAATGGTTTGAAATTTAAGAATCCAATATAATCCAAAGTAGAGAAAGTAACCCAACAAATATCCAAGCATTAAATGACAATAGAGATTGTAGGTTGTCAAAAGAACGTAGTTTTTTATATGAAAATTAGAAGAAATTTGAGACAACCCGATGGGTTCACTGCAAAAGGCAGAAGTAGCCTTGTCAAAAGAATAAGATAATTGAGGAAGATCCAAAATGCAACATCCTGGATTCTGTGTAAGGCATGCATTTTGCTGTGATATGTAGTACAAAGGGAAACAAAACAAAAATGGAACAAGGTCATCCAGAGAGAGGCTGTGTCTTTTACATAAGGGTATAGATACTATATGTCTATAACATTACAGTTACCTTTTTTCAGAAAAAACAAATAAAATAAATGTCAAAATAAAGAATCAGTTGTTATGAAGGAAATTGCCAGCCTAACAAGAGATTGGTGCTTGCTTCAAGTGAACAAGAAGATTAGCTAATGGATTAGCATACCATAGAAAAACAAGGGACTGTTAGGGGGAATATGTTTTGGGCAGTGTTGTAATTCAGTGTCTGTGGTTCAACTCTCTACACTAGGGGTTGACAGTTGTTTTTTGAAATCTCGTTAATGAAGTTACCGTTTCCAAGCAAAAAAAAGAGGTAGAGTAGAAAAAACAGAACAAAGAATAACTCACAGTATCAACTGGAATTGAAAATCCAACACCAGAGGATGCACCCGATGGAGAATATATAGCAGTATTTATCCCAATCAAGCTTCCGGAACTATCAAGAAGTGGCCCACCACTGTTACCAGGGTTTATGGCTGCATCAGTCTGTATAACATCTTGAATTGGACGCCCTGTTGCAGCTGAGCTGATTTCTCTGCGAAGTCCACTACAAACAACACAAAAAGAACATGTTAGTGATGGAACACAATGAAACTGATACCTGCATAAAACTCAAGAAACAACATCAATAAAAAAATGAAAGATACAATAAAGGAACAAATACATCTTTTCCATAATAAAGTTTCCCTAAAGATATGTAAGAAAAATACCCCAGAGATCTCTACCTGATAACACCAGTTGTAAGTGTATGATCAAGTCCAAACTGTGACATAAACATGGAAGCAAGGAAAAAAAAACACCAGTTAGTTGAATTTATACCAGTTAAAAGAAAAAAAAACAYGAAGTTTCTTGCATCCAGATTATGTGAATAGCATGACCCAAAAGGAAGGGAGAAAAGAAAAGGGAAAGAAATGGGAAAATACCATTGTTATATTGGCTATCTGGTAATGACCTTACCCTGTTATAGAGTAGTCACAGATTTAAAACCCCAAAGTGGATGACTTGTAGTTGGCATTTTCATTGAATGTTCAGATTTTTTTTTTTTTTTTGAGAGAAGGTAAAGTATATTGTATTAGATGTGTAAAAGGATAGCTGTACATGGAGTGAGCCTTCCCTAACTTTAAGAAACATAATTACTCTGTAGAAATTATAGCAAACTTTAATGTCATATAGTATTTTTTATTTGATGCTTTTGATGGAAAAGAGACAGCACCTCTGCACTAAAGTTTATATACCAGACATATCACTTATCAGATATATATATATATATACATATATATATACCAGACAATCTAATATTCTGATAGAAACTATTTATTAGTCCTGCCAAAAATGTAGCACCTACAAAGAAAGGTTCTCTAAACATCTTTCCAGGTCCTTATATTAATTATCCATTAGTTATTACTTTTTTTTATTTTTTTGCTTCATGGGGCTACACAATGGGGGTAGCTCATCCCCCTCCCTTAACCCCCCCCCCATCCCTGGTAGCAGTGGGATTTGATTCCAGGTCTTGCATTCCAACATTAGTAACCAAAGCTACAATGATGTGCTTCTTTATTGGAATCTGTTGACTATCTAAAGTTCCTCATGAGTACGCATGCAGTATATTGGTGCATCCAACAGGGATAAACAGTTGAATTTTGTGATGTAGAAAGTAAAGGAGAAAGTCCTACCACTTGGTAATGGTTTTCTGGAAAGACGAAAAAGAAAGAACTCAGATCTGACACAAGGGGAAATTAAAGAGTTTTATATTTCTGAAATATAAAAGAAAATAAAGAAGAAAGGAGATATTGCACACACCTTTAGTAAGACAAAAAGAAGGAAGGTTTAAATAAAGAAGAGATACTCAGAGAGAGCTCTCCTAACTACAATTAATAAAAGCATAATTATTGTTCATCAAATCAACTCTAAAATTTTAATCACAAAAACTCTATTCATAAACTCAGCGTAAGGGCTCAGATAACCCTTCATAGACTCTAATTTCAACTAGGAAACTGAAAAAAAAATCCAAACTACTTCAAAACTAAGAAAAACACATAAAAGCCATCCCACTACAACAAAACAAGACAATTCCAGGATAAGCCCAGAGGACTCGATCCCATCAAAAGGGGTATGGGTCATGGGTTGAGGTTGTGAGAAATGATTTAAGGATCACAATGTAATAATGGACATGATCTGTGATAGAGTGGAGTGGAAAATCAGGTTTCATGCGGTTGATCCCCTATAGTTAGGATAAAGCTTTGCTCAGTCAAGTTTAACAAAAACTAATGACCATGTGATAGCATATGACAGAAAATAAGTAAAATTACTTACAGGATTTCCAATGGCGTATACTTTCTGACCAACAAGTAAATCTGCAGAGACACCAACAGGTATGGGTCTCAGTTTCTCTTCTGGTGCATCAATGCGCAAGACAGCAACATCCTTGTCTTGGTCAAATCCAACAACTTTTGCCTCATAAGTTGACTGGTCAGCAAGGGTGACCCTGCATATAACTAGTATCAATTTGATAGAGAACTGTATAGCCTATAAATGTACAAAAGTGAAATATAATTTTTGGATTCTCCAATAACTATTAGAATGCACTATCAAACTGAAATAGTAGCTCAAAAATCTTTAAGAAAAACACAGCACTTAATTTATCACAATATAAACACTGACAAAGTAAACCATGTAAAAAGGCTTAGTATTGATGCAAGCTTGGGAAAAGGGAAAGACACCATAGAAGAATAAATCAGATTTCCATAGATTGGTGTACCAGTGGCAACTGTGTAATTTTAAGGTGATCAGGATTTTAGTCAATTTGCTTTTGAAAGTTTCTCTATTAATTTGTTAGTGTCTTGGGAAAGTGGTTTATCATCTTAATACAGTAGTTTAAAGAGTCTTATTTAGAAAGCTTTTAGAATTTTGAAAAGCTGAAGATGCAATTACATTGTTTTTCTTTTGGATTACTTTTTAGGGGTCAAAACTTGCACATAACTTCCAAATATTGCATTCAAAGGATCAACACCTACAGTAGAACCATCCCGCATATGAGATTACTACTAAAATCAACTCATGCAGATTAATACCTATGTATTTCATTGTATCCAAGTAAATGGTGAAAAAGGAAGTCTATTAAAGTTTGAGAAATGCTCCAAAATTTAAAGCAAAAATTCATCAAATCATATTGGTTTTTGACATGGCAATTTCTTATGTCAGTTTGACTCATTGGACAGTCCTGATCCTCTAAACATCAAACATGTGGCAAGTTATGGCAATTTCTTTCTTTTTTTTATCAAGATTGTCTCTTTGTAAGGAACTTATTATAGTTTCTTTTTGGTTTTGGAGTTGGATGTATTTTGAGTACACTGGTTTTTCCTCTAGCACAGGTTCTCTTTATACAGGGGTTCTATTGTATTTGGTTTTTGGATATTAATGAAATAATTTACCTTACAGTTTCTTTTTGGTTTTGGGGTTGGATGTATTTGAGTATACTGGTTTTTCCTCTAGCACAAGTTCTCTTTATACAGGGTTTCTATTGTATTTGGTTTTTGGATATTAATGAATTAATTTACCTTACAGTTCAAAAAAAAAATGTGGCAAATTATGGGGCCACAGGATGCATAATCATACTAAAGACACACCTGGCTTATATAAAAGCATAGCACAATATAGGATACAGTTCCAACCCATGGAGATAAAAGTTGCACACTATCTTATAATAACAATAATGATGATCTAGAGATTGAAAAGGTTGCAGTAGTTAGAATAACCAGTTATGCAGTAACTTCAGCAGTTTGGCAATAGAAGGAAAATTCCATCACAGCCAGGAATATTTTGAAGACTTGAGTATCATTTTTTGTCAGTAAAAAAGATACTGGAATAATGTAAGAACCAAATATGCACTGAAATTTAATAATGACGAACATGCCAACAAATACCATAACATTACACTAGGAACATCAAGAAATATGTAGATTGTGGAATTCTAATACATTATGTCATTTCTATATTCAAAATGAATGTACAAGTATGTTCTTGTAGAATTAGATGTCATACATTTGGAGCTGGACCATGCAAGCATAGGCAAAAACCTAAGGCATGTATAGAGATTCAGAGGAAAAGGAAAAAAAAAAAAAAAAGCAGGGGTCCTTCCATAAAATCCTTGTGAATAGAAATTCAAGAGAAAACCATGCCTACTAGCTTACTCAACAATTTTAACTGTAGAGGACTGCTCCTAGAAAATCCTTTGAATCCTTCCCCCTATCTTGCCATATGGCTGCTATGCTATGATGTTTGATAATGCTTTTCAGTTTTCACTCTTGCTTAGTTTCCTATAACTACCAGGTCCCTAGAGTCTCGTTGACTGTGCCTAGGAAACATCATTAATGCTGAACTATCAAGAAAATGGGTTCAAAGCACTGTACTAAATTTGCAACTGATATATAAAAAATGCAACTTAAAAACAGGTTATTTGCATTCTCCAGCACTTCTTGACAAAATAAACAGTCCAAGCCAATGCGAAGGCTATTTTTCCGCTAAAACCAACTTAAAACTCAAAATCTTACAAAGAAATTATTGATTACAGATTAAGCGTATCAATCTTTCTGTCACGGAATCTGAAACATAAGTGCTACTACGGACCTCCTAATTTGCTAAATTTCCCAATACCCTACGTTCAATATTTCTCCTTGTATACTTCATATTTCTTAGCAATATTACATTTACATTTTATTAAAGTACTTATCGGACCAGCGATTTGCAATAACCGAACGGTCAGAACCACCCAAACAAACCCACCTCCTCCTTAGCAATTGCTTTCTCATTTCCTCCCACATGGACTTAGTTTGACCAAAGTCAGCATGACTAGAAACCACACCTCAAATTGAAGCAGTTTCCTTGAAATTTCACAGACTTGGCAGTTTAACACTTAAAACGAATCAAAGCTGGAAAAGTAGTTGAAACAACTTAAACATAGTAACAAGAAGAAATTAGAGACTTGCTTTCAAACCTTAAAAAGAAACCAAGAAGAGAAAATGATGAAGTACAAATAGATCAGCACACAACACATTTTGCTCAGTCACCTGGCTAAAAACCAACCTGAGATCAGACGCACCACGAATTACATGATAATTTGTAACAATGTGACCATCTTTATCCCAAACAAAGCCCGACCCAGATCCTTGCGGTACCTCCAACACGTCCAACGTGAAAGCATCCTGCCTAAACATATACAACCCATCAGAGAAAACCCAAAATCGATCGGAAAAAGAAGGTAATAAGAAGAACCAACCTAACTAATAAAAGAAAATAAAGCTAATCCAACTCCACAGGCACTTGGAATTCTTCGTTCAATTTGACATTAGAATCTTCCCAAAACGCAATTACAAAAGGATACCTTGCGGCGAGGTTAGTAATGTAGACGACAGAGGGAGTATTCTCCTGGAAGAGTCGAACAGTAGCGAGCTCATCGGTCTGCAGTTTCCGAGGAGTGGTGACGACAAAGGCGGCAGCTGAATCCACATCGGCGATGAAGAGAGAGAACGAGAGAGCGAGAGAAGTACATAGGACGGCAAGAGAATCTAGGGCAGACGAGAGAGGATTACTAGTGACGAAGAATTTATTGAATAATGAAAGCTTTATGTCATCAGTGGAGAGACCGTGTCTGTGACCATCGTTGTAGACACAGAGGACGGGAGAAGAGCAATTAGGGGTTTTATGGAGATAGAAAGACTTAGAGAGAGAAAACTTGTTAGATTTCTTAGTTGGAGATCGAGAGGAAGTTGGAGTAGCAGTAGTTGCAGAGGAATGGAATAGAGCTGAAATGAGTGAATAAGCAGCCATTCCACTGAGACTAGTTCAAGATTTGGGGACAGGGCGCCTAGAACTAGAATCCTCTTTTTATCCGGAGATCGTTGGATCATTGACCAGAAACCACCATCTCTCGGTGGGCCACTCCTTCATTGTTCTGCGTCATCCGGCACCAATACAGAGACCACATTTAGGCTTTGGCCAGTGAAACGATATTGTTCTGCGTCGTTTTCTACCTGTGTGAATGATGGTCGTTTGGAGTCTGTATCTGCTCCTCACATAGAGATCGTCACACCGATATTACAGCATGTCCCAGCCGCACATCGCGAACATCTCCCGTAATTTATATGTTATTATTCATGTCTAGTTGTTTACATCGAGATTTGCTCCAGTAAATCCGGATTCAGATGCTCCCAATATACGGTGGGATATGAGAGATCAGGGTGAGGAGAAGATCCGAATGAATTCACATCTGCGCCTCACAGTACATCTTCTCCTGTACTTGTCATTGGAAGATGTTCCAAATACACGATTGGGATGTGCTGTGGGACGTCCTCTGTGGGGTGCAGATGTGAATTCGATCCCAATTCGGTCATAACGAAAAGCAACGATCAAGATCCCATGATCTCTTTGCGACTTGGGGAGGGAGAAGATCAGTGAACAAGAATAATAAGTCGCATTGCTTCTCAGTGCACCTCCATGCACACAGCACGCCCTGGATTTTGGATTCGGCCCATTCAAATTTTTACATCTCAATCCAACCCGATTAGACCTGTTCACGGGCCGGGCTTCAGGCCTGATTTACACTATATCGGACTCGGGCTTCAGGCCAGGCCCCATTCAAAATTTGGGTTTGGGCCAAACCCAAACCCAGCTCATGAACAGGTCTAAACCCGGCCCAAGTTAATAACATTCTTTTTTTTTTTTTTGGTAAATCCAGCTGATCCTCTAACTCTAGGTTCTAGTCCAACCAAGGTTCGMAATATCAATATAGACAGTCCCACAGGATCTCAAAATATCGTATACACGCCCTGATCAATACAGATCGGTATATACTGATAGCTTGATATGCACATCCAAATACAATTTTTATATTAATCAGAGCTTTTTCGATCAATTCAATTAAAATATAATACAAAATTATATGTTAATACTTGTAAAGATATGGAAGAAATAAACATCTTGCATATTAAGTTTTACTTATTTTATGGTTTTCCGGTTCCCACTTACAAATTATATAATCTATAAAATAATATAAATTTGCAAATGACTCTTACCATTCACCTGTATAGTGTACTATTCAATTTTGCATGTATTATGTATGGTTATTTGCAATAGTGGATGTATGTGTAATTTACATAACAATATAAATTACAATCGGTTCCTGTGAAGTGTTAAGTACAGGGCTAAAAGATTCTTTAGACTGGTGAAACCATTCATCAATTTCATTTTTTTCCAGAAACTTGGTAAAACTGTAACACGATTCATCCTCAGTCAGCTGTATGTCCCATCCGAGGAGATGGAAAAGGCGTAATGTTTCTGACTTCCTAAGATTGTTGTTACCACTTGTAAAAGTTCGCAAGTCCACAGCCAGCTTGGAAAAGACCAAACAAAAACTTAGAAAAAAAAAAAACGGAAATTTATAAAATTTTTCCAATGGGTCTCAATTCCCTCGGTAAGCTGTCAAAATTCCTAGAATCTACATCCGATTGTAGCACTGGTCTGTTCCCAGTTTTCCAAACGATGCCTTCTGCCAGATGCTCCTTGTTTGGTGTCAGCATTACATAATTTGGATCAGCTCTTTGGTAGCTACAGTTGAATAAATAGAAAAAGTTTATTTTAGTAGCACAAAGTTTAAACTATAAAGGAATAAAAAGRTAGATATTTGAACTTCAAAGCACAATGTCTAGCATAGAATTTATTAAAATAATTTCACCCTTGAAACTACAAAGTGAACCATGAGTAGGGGATCTAAGAATGATTAATATGTGCTTAGTAGTTGGTGAGGAAGAGAGTTAAATCAAACCTGGCTTGTCTAAGGTCCTCGATACGAAGTCCAAACCCAAATGATGTTTTCCCAACAGTACGATCTCTAACAGCTGCAGATCATTTCCATTGTGTGCTTAGTTACTAAGATATAATAGGCCAATAGTCAATCTACCGTAAGACCCAAATTCTGAAGAAAGCATAGGATTTAAAGCCTCATCTGTTCTATATAAAGTGGATATTTGCCTTGGTTTTGGTGCAGGTGATAAAAGTTAAATTTGGCCATATAATGTCAACTTATATCTTTATCCTTTATTTACACATGTACATAGCACGTGCCCTTTATCAAAATAAATAAAAACATAATATTAAGTAGTTGTGTTTTATATATGTTGTTTTTTTCTCCCCCTCCCCCGGTCTTTTCATATTTTTGCTATAAATCTGTAGCAGATGATGTAATAATATTAAAATAAAGGCAACAAACTATAACCAAGCCAAGCAGGGGAAGAGCAAAAAGAATAATAAAAAAACAAAAAATGTAACACCATTTCACCCCCAGAACGAATGATAAAGCCTGAGGCCAATCCAAAACTAGACAATAAAACGTCCAATCCTTTCTGCATAAGCTCCAACTGGACAGATTTCCATGGGTGCCTGACTAGATTTCACCCAGATGGATGTACTATCAGTGTGATTATTACCATTACATGATGGAGAGGATGTTCTAAAAAGGTTTTAACCAAAACTTGCAAAATTCCTGGCATGTCTATGGAAGACTAAGTAATTAAACCCATCATAAATTAGTAAATTTCACAAAAATTACCAGCACCATACTTCTAGAAAGTGGGTAAAAAGCATCTTCTGTAACAACTTCAAGGACATCAATAAAACAAAATTTCAAATTAGATGTACCTGAAATGCTGAATGTGAAAGAAGGTTTCCACCATGATTTGAATGCTAAAGCTACAGACGAGCTCAGAGGACCCAACTTTCCCTGCAAATATGAAAATATATTGATTGAACATTGTATCTCAAAATTCAGAGGAATTCGTGAGAGATATACCTTCAACAAGAAATTCTTATTGGCTTGCCAAGACACAGCTACTTGAAAAGTGGATTCAGAAGTGCTGTGTGAAGATTCTTCTCCATCAATTCTTTACAAAAAGATCAAAATGCAATCAGGTACCATAATTCAACAAATTGATTAACAAGAAGATAATTACTTCATGGGTCAATGTACCTTGTCTCTAGTTCAAATCCAAAGTCAATATAGTTTGTAATTCCAACTACTTCATTTTCTTCAAACGGATTCTTCACCTGTTTTGTTGAATCAATTAGTTGGTTCTATCAGTTTTCCTACTAACTAGGGATGAAAAAGAAAATAATGACAGGAGAGAGAAAGAGACAGAGAGAGAGGGGGGGAGGGAGGGAGGGAGGGAGACATAAGACAAGGGAATGGGTTCAATATGGAAATGGTACAAAGTTCAGAAAATGAAAAATAGAAAATGTGTAAATTACTATGAAAAAACCTGTTCCTAAAACTGATCAGCTCAGTATCTGAAAACTTTGAAACTTGTTACAAGCATCATCAAATTGTCCAGTTTTTTTTATGAATAAACAGAACCTTTTATTAATCTTTACGATAATACTTTACAAGCATCCCTTAGAGAAGCACAAGATGCTACCTCTCTATAAAAAGCAAAGAAAAATTACAACTGAGGCCAAAACAAATAATCCCTGTTCACTCCTTGCTTAGCCAAGGCATCCGCCATCCCATTTGCAGATCTCCTCACCCATTGTACCCTGAGATTCATATTTCTAATGAGCCACTTAAACTTCTTCATTTCATTCCTGTAGCACCAGATTATAGAGTCTGGGTCCTTTAGCCACCCCACCACTACTTTTAAATCCCCTTCTATAACCACACTTGCTAGCTGTAACTCATTTGCAATCTGCACTCCTTGTACTGCTGCAAGCAACTCTGCTTTGAGAGAGTCACCCAAAGTCACGGGGCCTGTGAATAAAGCTACAATTTTACCTTCTGAATCTCTCAATACCCCTCCTATACTATATGGGCCTGAATCTCTCAATACAAAACCTTCCATTGGAGGTATCCACTACATCACACTTTCCTTTCTAGACGAATTTATGGCAATTGCTTCCCAGTTCCTACAAACATCATCAAAGGAAAATTGGGAGAATAATTCCAAAGTCTTTATCCAATGGTTCACCCTGACCATTACACAATCCCTGACCCTAACAGCTTCTTTGCTCCTCTCTTTTTCTAAGAGTATTCAAGCATTCCTCTCTTTCCAGATAGTCCACATCAAGGCTGCTCTAACACATCTCCACATTGTTCTTCCCCTTTTGTTGGCAGCATAAAGATGGATGGATCGAACAGCATCTTGACCTCCAATGGTGAAGTCCACCTACACCCAAACAAAGAGAGAAACCAAAGCCAAACCTCTGCAACAAAGGGACAAGAGATCAGTAAGTAATAGCAACGCTCAGTATTGGATTTACATAAGATGCACCAATTAGGAGAGACAAGAATTAGGCCTTCTCTTTTGTAACATATCTAAAGTGTTAATCTTCCCATGCACTACTTCCAACACAACACTCTTACTTTGGGTGAATGGGTCTACACCAGAACTCTTTAAAGGGAAAAGAAGGACAACCCGATGGAATGCAAAGAGTCTTGAACAAAGAAGCACAAGAGAACAGACTCTTAGGACGGGAGGCCCAAAAATACGCTTATCAGACTTCTTAGGGTCCAAACTAATATTTTGAAGGATTTGTAATAGATCCGAGCAAGCTGAGATTTCACTACTTCTTAGACCTCTTTGGAAGCCAAAGTCCCAATTAAGGCCCACAAGGAGTACTAGAGGAACAATAAAGTTTGACACACACTCGTTTTTATACAAGGAAACCAAATATAAAGCAGGAAAAAAGATCTTTCAACGGACAAGAGCCAATCCATGTATCCTCCCAAAATTTAACAGAGATCCCGGAGCAAACATCATACCTGATAGACCGAAGTAAAAGAGGCAAAGTGCAGTGGATGGCTTTCCACGGAGAAGTCAGTGTAGCCCTGTTAGATACTCCTGCATCCCAATCGTTTCCCAACTTCCCATGTATGCTAGCAATGACTTCATGCCACAGTCTATCCCTTTCCTCCGGCCACCTCCATATCCATTTCCCTAACAAAGCTGAATTCTTTCTATCTATATTTCCAATACCCAACCCACCCTCTTGAATGTTTTTACACACAACCTCCCATTTAACCAAATGATCTTTTTTTCCATCACCTGACTCCCAAAGGAACTCTCTCATGATTTTTTCTTTTTTTCTTTTTTTTTTTTTGCATCCTTTTGGGAAATCCTAAAACCTGACAAAAAATAAATTGGTAGATTGGCAAGAGTGGATTTGAGCAAAGTAATTCTTCCGCCCAAGAGTGGATTTGTTCAGTTTGAATGATGCCCAGATACAAATACGAATATATTTGATTCTTTGATATGAAAAGGTTTCTACAGTTTTTTGTGCAAATGGATTCAATTATGATGCCCAGATATAGATACAAACAAGGACGCAGACACAGACATGGATAAGAGAAATGGACTCTCCATTTCCTAAAATTTTGGATACAAATAAAAGCATCCCTTTTAATATGCCTATACCATGCATTTATATCTAGTTTTTGAATCTAAATGTCATTTTCAAGACTTATGTTTTTCCAAATTTAAGTAAATTTCTAACATGTGCAAATCTTTTTATAGTATAATTTGTTGAAACATACCATTTTACATATTTTATAAGCATTAATGCTATAAAGTACATGTAGAGGTATATGTGCAGTATCTGGTATCATATCTGACAAGTATCATACCCAATATCAATATGTTAAGCATGTAAGGTATCCAGGTATTGCGTCAATCAGTTGGAACTGAGTAGGGCTGCAAACGGATCGAATCAGATTGGATAAAGGTATTTAGACTTGTTTATATTCGAATTCGAATCGGATCTTATCCATCAGATTTATGTTGAATTTGAATCGATCTCATATTGTAATCAGATATTGAATAGTATAAATAAATTAAATTAAATTAAATTAAAAATGATTAAAACAATATATTATTAATAAGATAAAGGGTAAAAGACTTAAACCTCCCCTAATGTTTAAGATAAATACTAATACCTCCCTTCTAATTTCTAATAGGACTTGAGCCTCCCTGTCAGAATAAGATTCCATTCAATTTGATGGAAACAATAAAAGACTCTTTTATCCTTCATTATTCTTTAAATTAAAGAAAACCACCCAAACTGGGAAATAAAGAACTACCACTGTTTTTATCTATCAAAAAAAATAGGATTACCACTTTTTTTTCCTGGAAGGATAAAACTATACATTAAGCCCAAAGGAAATTACAACAAGAGGGACTAAAACCCATTCAAGACAAAACCTTGACTCTCTAACTAAGACACCAACATATGAGCCAGCTTATTTGTATCACAATTAATATGATGAAATGCTAGCTGCATAAAATTGATCAAAAAAATGCTAGCTACGTAAAAATGATGAAATGATAAAGAATTGAGTAATAAGAGGTTTAGAATTGCAAAAAAGGACAATCCATTCATGAATATAAATATTCCAGCTTGTTCTGTATGAACCTGATAACAATCTGATTTTTTTTATTGGAAACGGTAACTTTCATTAAAGATATCAATTAAACAACATACAATGTCAACCACTCAGAATGAGTGTTGACCCCAATCAGCTTCAAGAATTACAATACAGCCCAAAAGAAGTTTTCCTTGAAGGTCCCCTGCTTTGCCRAACTATCTGCCATAGAGTTGGCTGACCTCCTTACCCATTTGAAAGTTATTCCAGCATCCCTTTCCAAGCAGATTATTTCCCTTATTTGTTGTCTAAAAGTCCATACACCCAACCTTTTTGCCTGCAGCTACCCTATTAACAGTTTAAAGTCCCCCTACACCTCAAAGTTCTGAAACCCCCATTGCTTGGCAAATCTCAGGCCTTGTAGAAGAGCAGAGATTTCAACTCTCAGAGTCTCCCACTCCTATGAGACCGGAATATAGTGCCACAATTCTGCCCTCCCCATCCTTAAATCTTATTTTTGTTAGTAGATCATTAAATATTTTACTTTTGATTCCTAATTCATTATTGGTTAACAATACATAATCAACATTTCCAAGTTCTGTGCATTCTCAAGTTGAGACACAACCCCCAAGTCATCTCTCCAGGGTTCTCCGATTGACCCTATTCCTAGGTATCTCGAGTTAAGCCAATTCACCAAGCCAGAAAGATATTGCTGGGATTTCCTCCTTCCAAAACTTGGCTAGGTTTGGACAAATGATCAAAACAATTGGAAAGAAAGTTGGAAAGGTTGAGTAAATTTTTAATTTCCTTCTATAGATGATTTAGGAAGATTTTGGAAATTGACATTATGACATAATCAGAAACCTTCTCTTGTAAAGTTCCATTTCAGTTATTTTGCCAGAAATTTATGAAATCCAGAAATTACTATTCTATTTTGCAAAATTGAATTATACATTTGTTCATTAATAGATGTCTTCCAGAATTGAATGTGCTCTATTTTTTTTCAAGATCCTTTTTTTAACAGGAAAAGTTATACATGGACGGTGAAAATCTTTAAAGAGAAAAACAGGTTATATGATAAACTTCTTTCAACTCCAGTATGTCTGAGTACTTCATTGCAAATTGCAATCCAAAAACTCAAACAAAGTAATAAATAATTAAGACATCCAGTTGATAAGAAAGAGAAAAAGTCCAAGAAGCATACCCGTCTTTGAACCACAGCATGCTGATAGAATGAAGCAATCAGCTGCACTTCAGAAATTGCAAGTCAGTGAATCTGTACATAACAATATTTAAATCAATAATGTTACACCAGTCAACTTGCAAACAAGACCATGCACACAGAACAAGTACATTAATTAGAATGTTATCACAAAAGCACCAGTAAAAGATCCTCTGACATGAGACCTATAAGTTAACTTTTCCTAAAAAGCAACATTAAAATGACAGACAATGAAATAGCATACTAAGAATGTATTCGCCTTAATATATACATATAGTCATACACATGTATGTATGCAATGCATATATAAAGTCAAACATGCCAATTGATTAGAAGCCATTTCTTTTGGCCCGGTTTATTTGCACTGCAATTTCAATTGCACTGGTGCAGAAATATGGGAATGCAAATGAGTTGAGTGCAAATTCTGGTTCATTTTTATTTTAGCCTTCACCTTATTTTGTTTGTTTGCAATGAGGATGAAGTAAAATAAAACAGAAGTCAAGGTGTATGGCAGCACCAGTATATAGTGAGAGAAATCAGATTCTTGACACGGGAACTCAAGGCTTCATTCCATTGGGTTAGTAGGCAGGCAAATAGCTTAGTAGACTCTTTAGCTAAGCAAGGGGCAACAAAGGAGAATTTGTTTTGGGCTAACGTGTAATGTAAAATAGAAACAAGGTTTTTTTCTGGATTATTAAACAATTGTTAAATTTGTATATATGAGAAACAAGAAAGAGAAGAGGTGTTGGGAACCATGTATATATGTTTTTCTTTTTTCTTTTTCTTTTTTTTTTTTTTTGAGAAAAGGTGGAACCCCAAAATAACTATGCTGTGTAGTTAAAAAAAAAAGCATCGGCTGAGATGTTGTGTGCCTTTGCCCAAGAGCATATCTTTGCTAACATATTGTGTATAATTTCACCAATCTGAGAGGATTTGCCTTCAAAAATTCTGTTGTTCCTCTTTATCCAGATAGACCACAACACTGCAGCAGGTAGCATATTCCAGATGATTCTGCCATTACTGTAAAGACCTTCAACATTCCAGCTGTTAAGAAAGTTTAGGACAAAACTAGGTAAGATCCAGCATAGGTGCAAGTTGGAGCATGGCTCCAAATGTGCCTGCTGAAAGGGCAGTGTAGAAAGAGATGATCTGCATCTTCCTGAGAAGCATTGCATAAAGGGCAGTTGGGGGAGGTGATAGGGATGCCTCTCTTCATCAGTTTGTCTTTGGTAAGACATTTGACATGTGCGTCCAAACCATTGTTTTAAAAGGCTTGGGAGGAGTACACTTGGAGGCATGCCCCCAAAACGCCCTGAGGCGTATACCAGAAGCATATGCCTCTAGCACGCCTCATACACCTTTTTCATGAGGCATGCTGGAGGCATACGCACACCTCATATAAAAAGACAAAGAAAGGAAAGGAAAGGAAAAGAAAGGGAAGGGAAGGGAAAGAAAAGGAAAGAAAGAGAACAAAAATGAGATCTTCCTTCCTCTTCCTTTTCCTCCCACACCTTCCTCCTCATCCCCCTCCTCTTAAGGAGGCTTACGCCTCTTACATTCTAAACTACACCTTACACCTCTAGGTAGTGGAACGCCTCGCGTCACGCCTCTGTTTTAAAACATTGTATATCGTATGAACATGTTTAGACATGCAAAAGAGTAACCATAAAAAATGAAAAGAATGATGAATACATCTGCAGAAGAGTAACAACCTGTGAACTTTTAGCGAATTCAAGACCGAAGTTGAATGATGGACTCAAAGGGCTAGATGAGCCTAATCCATAGCCAATCGCACAACTCCAATTCATTAAGTTGTTGAAGCTTGCATCACTTTTGCTTCCAGCTATGGAAGAGTAAAAAAGATAATTGCAAGACAAGTTTTAGTCGTCAGCAAGTTCAAATCCAAGAGACTCCATATCAAGTTACAAAATTAAATCCATAATATATAGGTTAGAGATCAATGAAAGAGATAAATGAAATGAAATATGGTGTAACTGAGGATGCATTCTTGTGCTCAAAGCATGGTTCTTAGAATATGTTTAGACTAAGACTTAAATCCTTTTTTTAGAAAAGGTAATGTATTAATAAAACTGAACAAAATATACAAAGCCCTGTTCAATAAGATACTGTGCAGGGGATAAACACTTGGAAGCTGATTAAACTGAAGATCTAGATACAAAAAGATTCCTAATATCAAAAAAATAACTGTAAGGTGCATCCTTTAACTGTATTGTGTTTATTTTCTGTACAGCAAATTCTGCCCCATAAGGCTTTCRAAATTGTATCTACTGTATTGTGTTTATTTTCATAAATCATCCTATTTCTCTCTGTCCATAATGACCAAATCACTGCTACCAGAACTACTCCCCACAAGATTTTTCCTTTTTCTGGACAAAGCTTCCAACTGTCAGCACTACGACAGGGATTTCAAATCTTTTGGAAAGCAGAAACTGACTTCAAACAGTCCTAAAACTCTCACCCAAACCATTCATGCAAGCCTGCAATGGCTGAATAGGTGCTCTACATCCTCTGAAGCCTCCCCACACAGACTACATCTACTTTGTTCCATCATCACACCTCTTCTTGCAAGCATATCTGCTGTTAGGCATTTTCTAAGAGTGGCTGTCCATAAGGCCATAACAAAAAAGCTACCTTGAGTGGAGCAACTGTTTTCCAAACTCTCCTCCTCATTGTTTAGCCTATTATAAAAAGGTTTAACTGAAAAATCTCCCAATCTTTCCCCCAACCAAATTCTCCTATCCAACCTAGAGAAATCTGGTCTGATGTAACTGACTGCTTGCATCATCTCCAGCCATTGTGCTATTTTTTAGTTATTCAGGTCTCTTCTGAAAGTGGGCACCATTCGCCTGCATTCCAGTCATTTGAGTATGCCTCTGAGATCAAGCAATCTTTATTTTGAGCTATCTCAAACAGTGTTAGAAATCTCTCCTTTAGAGGTAGGCCTCCACACCACAAGTCCTTCCAGAATTTTACCCTTGAGCCATCTCCAACTTCAAACTTAATTCCCTTTTGAAAATCCAATGTCGGTTTCTGAATGCCTTTCCAAACTGAACACCCATAAGAAAAGTTGGCTTCGACCAGGTCCCAACTGAAATTTCTAGATCCATATTTTGACAAAATAACTCTTCCACAAACTGTTAGGCTGCACATTCCACCTCCAATACCACTTACCCAAACAAGCCAGGTTAAAATTTCTTAAACTCCTCACTCCTAAACCGCCAGCTTTCCTTGAACCATATACCTTACTCCACTTGACTAGGTGAAATTTGGAGTCTTCCTTCCATCCCTTCCACAAGAAATCTCTCATCCTCTTCTCAATTGTTCTTGCTGCACAAGCCTTTTCCAGATCTCAATTGTTCACATCCCTTGGGATAMAGAAAGCAAATATGTAGGTAATGATGACAGAATGCTTAATCAGTGTCAACTTCCCTCCTTTTGAAATGTATCTTTCTTTCCACAAAGCCAATTTCCTCTCTATCCTCTCCACCACTGGCTCCCAAATCTTCTTTGAAATATACCTTTCTCCTAGAGGCATTCCGAATAGACCTGTTCATGGGCCGAGTAGCCCAACGGCCCAGCTTGTTATTTTTCAGGCTTGGACAAAATTCCAGGCCCGCGGGCTCGGGCTTTAAATACCAGGCCCGGTCATTTTTTCGGGCCAGGCTCAGGCTTTCTCAAACAAGCCCAGCCCGATAATATTACATATAATAAAAAAGCATTTATGTTATATATAATACATATTTGTTTCTTAAATTATTAATAAATATTAGTTTACTATTAGGAAATAAAAATTAGTTTATTAATTTATTAAATTATTACTAAATTAATATAATATTAGTTTATAAAAGTACACTGGAAATAAGACATTTTGTGTACAGCTCGGCCTTCGGGCTTTATATAAGGGCTAGGCTTGGGTTCAAGATCTAGACCCGATGGTCAGGCCAAGCTCAGGCTCAGGCCTGACATTTTCTGTTGATAAAGAGGCAAAGCCCAGCCCGAGCCCAACCCATGAACAGGTCTAATTCCGAAGTACTTTGTGGTTTGTAGGCAACTTGCCAGAAAAAGACTTAAACCTCCCTTAATGTTAATGCTAAATACAAAAACCTCCCTTCTTTTCAAAAGGACTAAGACCTCCTTTGTCAGATGATGTCATTGAACAAAGACCTCCCTCCTGTTGACAATCCGTTAAGATCTGCTTGTACATGATATCATGTGTGGTAAAAAATTTTTTGAAAAACCTAATTTTTCCCTTTATCCATAACCAAAATCCCAATTGTTTGATATCTTAGTTAGACTAGAGAGATTTTTACCAAAATAATAAAAAAATTAGATGAGAAATTATCTTTTTGATTCTATAGGTGGAAAATGCTAAAGAAGGGACTTTTTCTTGTTATTCATTTTGTTTTCACTTGTCATCGGTTTAGCAGTCAGCTGAAGATCTAATCGATCTTGATGTTGCAGCAAGAAAGTCATGTTTGTTTCTATTTTTTCCTATTCCAGTAACCAAGTCAATCAAAGGATTGCCACTCGAGCAAACTGCCTAGGAAGAGGCGAAAAAGAAACCAACAAAAGCAATTCTGCTAGTACTTGTTTCTTCTGTGCATAATTTCATATAATTAATATCAAGAAGCACAATTTTGTAGCTGGGATAATCAAATCTTACATATATTTCTTTAAACAAAAGGGAAGGAGAAGAACCAATTAAGTGGTAACTGGTAATACATAACATTGATATTGATGCAAGCTGTAGCTCCTTCTTACTTTCCATTTCTTAGACATATGGTGTAGCTTTATTTTCTTCCCCAGAATATTTTTGTCCAAACCAACTGATATATGTCTTTACAAGTCCACCCTTTGATGTTTAACCTTACCAGTCCACAACTTATACCTAATTTTAGTCACCAACCCCAGCCTCATCTCTGCTGTCCCATTTGATATCACCCTGAAAACCGCTTTCAAAATCCACCCATCGCTTTATTTTCTTCTTTCCTTTCTCTTTTTTTTTTTTATTTTTGGCCTATTTGTTGTACTATTCTGTTCTGTAATCAAATCAAAATCTATGCATTTATTAAATGCCATCATTATTAAAAGAAGGCATTGATTTGTTGAAACAAAGAGAAGAAGGATTCATCTCCAACACGCAAACAATATGGTGAATGGAGCTCCCGATGCCTGGTGGTTTCAGTTTCAGTGGTTTTATTTGAAATTAAATTATAAATTTATAATGAAGGGTAAAAATGTCTTTTTATTGGTTTTGTTAAATATAACAGTATGTTACTTTGAGAGGGGAAGTTTAAGCCCTGTTAGAAACTAGAGGAGAGGTGTAAGTCTTTTACCCAAAGGATGAAGTGGGGATGATTTTTCTAGGTTTCAAGAGCAACAGAGAAGTGTAAAGGAACAAAAAAAGTTTAATAAAGCATGACTAATTTTCCTTGGAGAAATATACAGTGCTCCAGCTTGGCTTAATGCATTGACAGTTCAACATGTAGTAAAGAAACAAAGAACTATATGTACCTTTTTTTTATATCTTTTGAAGGGCTACACAACGGGGGGTAGCCATCCCCCAACCCAGGTGCAGGCGGGATTTGACACCTTGCCAACCAGCTGGTTGGCACCTTGCTAGAACTATATGTACCTTATGCACATAGGTACATCTTAGCATTCATGCCAATGATTGAGTAAAAAATTCTTCTGGTTAAGATATTCTGTATACAAACATTTCTCTTTTTTTAATAGGTAAAACAAAAGCTTTATTGCACCAACATAGCAAAAAGGTTCAAGACTATCATATATGATTGTTGTTTTTATTTATGTGGCTATAAAGTCTCTAGGCTTCTACAATCTAGAGGCCTCCTGAAGTAGAGAGTCCAATGTGCTAAAATTCTACATAGTTAATAGCATAACAGAAGCATATCTAAAGGTATGATGCTTAGTGAGGCATATATCTTTTCTAAGGAATGCTGATTCCAAAAGTAGTTATAGTGAGGCCTCACTTATGAAGTTATGAGGTGAGTGCATCTTGCTGTTGCTACCCCAAATGACACACTAACAACCTGCTAGCATATGAAAAAAAAAAAAAATAGAGATTGCCTCTAAAGTCTACTACCTTGCTATGACAATTTAGAAATACCAGGGTAGCCTAACATGTTGAATGATGAGTTCACAAGACCACAACAATTTCATGTGAGCCCTCAATGAAACACAAGCATGTTATCAATCAAATGAAAAATAAATAAGTGCATGTCTGGGTGATTTGGTTTCAATGAGTTCACATAGTCACAACATTTTCTTGCAACCCTACAATAAAATACAAACATGCTAACAATCAAATGAAAAATCAAATCACCAAATAAGTGCATACCTTTTTCACACCCAAGTGGTACAAAAATAATCCACTAACATATGAAAAATAGAGATTACCTCCAAGTCTACTATCTTACTATGATAATTAAGAAATGCCAAGGTACCTAACATGTGTTGTGACATGTTCACATGATCACAATACTCTCTGGTGATCAACCAATAAAACCCTAACATGCTATCAATCAAAAGAAAAACAAAACCACCCAATGAGTAGATGCTTGGGTAATTTGATTTCGATGAGTTTACGTGGTCACAACACCACTTTCTTGTGACCCTTCAACAAGTCATGAACATGCTAATAATCAAAGTTAAGACTAAATCACCTTGTGAGTGCATGCCTAGGTTATTTGGTTTCGATTAGTCCACATGGTTACAACACATTTTTGCAACCCTTCAATAAAACATGGACATTCTATCAATCAAATGAAAGACAAAATTACCCAGTGAATGCATGCATGTTGCTGCCTCAAGTGATACATGAACTACCCACTATCACATGATAAAATGAAGACTACCTCATAAGGAACATCAAGAAATACGAAGGTGACATGTGGAGCAATGTTCAATGCTCATAAAACTTTCTTGTGGCTTCTAAAAAAAAATCCAAGCATGCTATAAGTCAAAGGATAAACCAAATCACTCGGTGATTGTATGTCTGAGTGATTTGGTTTTCATGAGTTCACATAGTCAACAATTTCTTGTGACCATCCAATAAAAGACAGATGATGCTATCAATCAAATTAAAAACCAAATAACCCAACGAAGGCATGTTCAATATTGCTACACCAAATGATACAAGAGAAATCCACTATCATATAAAATAGAGACTACCTCTAGGAGACACTACCTATGACAATCAGGTAATACCGAAGTAGCTTAACATGTAAGGTGATGCCTAGGCAATAAGGCGCTCATGGAGGGTCACCTCACTGAATCACCAAGATATTTTTTACCCGATGCTTCAAAGAAAAAGACCAAATTGGTGTTTATCCCCACATGTCTATAGCCTTTACTTAAGGAATGGCGAGACAGTGAATCAGATACTAATATCTTGTCCTTTTATTGTTCTTATTTGGGTTTGGTTCTCCTCCCTCTTTGATTGCAGGTGGAATCCTCCCTTAAGTGTAGAGGATCTCTTTGACCCTAGCTTCTTCCAACAACCAAAGAAAAAGGGTAGGGTGATGTGGAGAACAACGAGGGCAGCTATTTTGTGGGCAGTTTGGGAAGAGAGAAATAACAGGATTTTCCAAGGGAAAGAAAAATCAGTTCCTGAACTCATAGAAAGGATCACCATCAAGGCCATACATTGGTTGAAAACTCTAGACTTATTCAAGGATGTCTCTATAGATGACTTGACTAGTGGTTGGAGTGTAATAGCAAGGTCTTCTGCATCTTTTTCTACCATACAAGCAGTTTGGTCTCCTCCTTTGCAGTGTACTGTGAAACTAAATTTTGATAGCAGCTCTGTTGAGAAACCTGGACCTTTTGGAATTGGGGGTGTGTTTAGAGATGCAGGAGGAAGAATCCTGGCCATGTATTCTGTTAGGAGCTGCCTAACTCAGGGTTCGTAGAGTGAACCGAGCTCTTGATGAGAGAGGGAAACTGAGGGGAAAACAGAGAGAGAGAGAGCCGTTCGAATGAAAATGCCTGTCTTCTTTATTTCTTCCTCAGGTCTTTATAGCCCAGGTAAGTAGTTTGTTACAAGACTGTTACAGTTTGTTGGACTGTTATTCTGTTCCAACAGTTTGCCACTTGGATCTTGCTGACGTGGCTTCTCCCTTTTCTTGTAGACTTGGTATGTAGGCTGGCTGTTTCTGTGCACAGTTCTTAATTTGTCACAGCTCTTGGTCTTAACATATTCTGGTCTAATAGGGGTGAGGGATTCGCTTAGAGCAGAAGTGATGGCCCTCCTCCAGGGGCTCAGATTAGCTAAGAAGTTGGGCATTCAACATTTAGAAGTGGTGGGAGACTCAAAATTAGTAGTAGGCTGGCTACAAACAAATAGCTTGGGAACGTGGTCCCTTATACGACTTGTTAGGGAATTATTGAGCCTCACAAGGGAGTTGGGAGCACATGCTAAATGGACTAGGAGGTCAGCAAATGCTTTAGCTGATAGTCTAGCAAAGCAAGGAGTAAATCGGGAGTCTTTGTTTTGGGCTGTTCTGTAATTTGATTTATGATGAAGGGTCAACTTATGTCTCTATAGGTAATAGTTGTATATTTATTTTTAAGCTAAAGTTACTGTTTCCTATCAAAAAAATATATTTTTTGCACGATGCTCTTGGATACTTTATATTCTTAACTTTCTGATATTATAATAATAAAACAGGCATTATTAAACTACATATTCAGTTTGAGTTTAAATGCTAGTTTTTTTATTATTCTTCTTATTTGTTAGGGTTCAATCAAGATGTCGACTGTCTTGAACCTTTGAAGACTTTAAGACTTGAATTAATCAAGATGAAATTTACTGTTATTAATCAAAACAAAAAAAAACTTCAAGACCTGACCTGATAAGCATTGAAGAACTCAAAATTTTGTCCAATCAACACATTTCGTTCATCATTTCTTTTCTTCTTTTCCTAGGAGAAAAATAGAAGCCCAGCCTCTCTCTTTTGTAAAATTTCTTCTCTCTTCCATTTTTTCATGAATATGATGATTTTTACCATTGGACTGGATATGGACCTAATTTTTGGCATTTTTGAACTAAGTGGCTACTCTCAGAATTGAACCCACATTCTCACAGTTGTCAGCCTGAGATTTTACCATTGGACTAAGAAATGGCCCCTAAAAGGCTAAATCAAAATAAACCAACAAAAAGGAAATGCTAAATCTAAACAGCATACTCATTGAAATCTACCAAACTTAAATCTTTAGAAAAGGAGTAATTCTCAAGAGCAGAATTCTTAATCCTTGCTACATAGCATTGATTATGAGTGAACTCACATTGTGGCTTGTATTGAAACCCTGCAGTTAGCCTTCCCATACGACTTACCAGCCATGCCGTTCTAGGGAACTTATCTCCTGGCACTACAAACAAAGCAGCATCCCAATTTTATTAAGTCAGTATAATCAAATAAAGATGACAAGTTCAAATTCCATTTTTCCCTAAATCAAGGCAAAGAGACGTCTTGACAAAGCTATGTATATCAAGGGCAATTTGAACTATACTTTTAGCTTGAGATTTCTGAGTCTAAACTTAAGAGTTGAGGTTACTGCAAGTCTGCAACATAAATGAATCAAAAAGGCATTTACACAAATTACAACAATGGGAAAATGTTGAAAACTAGAAATGACCATAAACAAAATAAGCAAATCTGACAAGAAATCAATTGGAGATCTTGGATATGAACAAGGTTCAAAGTATCGACACGTATCAGCCAATACGTATCGTGCCAATGGCTTCCTGATACGTCCCTCCAGGGGTTGTATCGGGACCATGGTTCAGAGGGTAGCCGGGCCTTAAACCGACCCCTCTGAACCGGTTTTGAAAAAAATAAATAAAACCTAAAAAAAAGTACCAATACAGGCTGATACACTGGTATACTGCATATAACATTCCTAATGCTCTAAAACTTATGGAAATTTTTTTCTATATTAGACCTCTTCGTAACTTTACATGAAAAAAAAAATTAGTTTCGGGGAAAGTAAAGAAAAATGAACCACTTAGATGATGTGTTGTTGTGTGGAGGAACTCAAGCAGAATCTTAGTTCAAGAGATGAATCAAAGGAACAATAGATTTTTGTGAAGATAAATATAGAACTGACATTAACTCAAGATAGAAGAAAACCAAATTTACTCAAGTACAATACCAGTCACATACAAGAATAAGGCACAAATGTGGCTCCAATTGATAAATTTCCTGAGCCAAATCTCAAGCCCATAATACCAAAATCTTCAGAACATATCCTGGATGAGCAATTCAATTAAAAATAAGTAGGCATGAAATACAAGCTAAAATCATGATAATAAACTACTGGAATATATATATCTTTAAGACTAGACAGAGACCTAATCTTTGGCATTTTTTGGGCACAAAGTGGCCACTCCCAGATTAGAACTTGCTTTCTCATGTTTTTGCACCAAGCAATTACTCTTAAAAAGCCAATGGTTTATAAACTTGACCCAGTATATATAAACTTGATCCAGGGACCACTTACTTGCTTACATGGCCAGTAATTCAGAGTGCCATTTCTGCTGGGTTTGAACCATTGGCTTTTTAAGAGTAATTGCTTGGTGCAAAAACATGAGAATGCAAGTTCTAGTCTGGGATGGCCACTTTGTGCCCAAAAAATGCCAAAGATTAGGTCTGTGTCCAGTCTTAAAGATATATATCCCCATACCTATCTTTCTCATGGTATAATTTTGTCATGTCTAGATGTGTCAATCTAACAATACCACGTTCTGCAAATGGACTGGCTGAAAGCTTGGCAAAAGAAGGGGCATTAAGAAATGAGATGTTTCGGTGGGGAAGGGGGATGTAATGAATCTAGAAGATGTGGTTAACCGAGGCTAGCCACCTTGTGAGGAAAGCATAACAACTCCTGCTACTACTTAATATTCATATTAATAAAATTCAAAACAGTCATTCATCAAAAAAAAAAAAGTAGCAATTTAACAAATGAATAGGTCCATTGCCAAATTAAAAGTTAAAAATATAACTACCAATTATAATCAGGTCTCGTTGGGTCAGATCAGATGGTCCCAATTAATAGTGGAATTGATGTTGGGTCTGTTATTATAGACCCTATTGGGTCTGGTTTGGAACTGATTCTGCAGATTTGTTTATTGGTTCAGGATCAACTCTACCCTGATCTGGACCAGACCCAACCTATTGACAACACCACCCTCCAGGCTGATCCAGGCCTAATACATTGATTGAAGCATCTTAAAAAGAAATTAGAATACTCTGGTGTCTTAGAAAGAAAGTGGAGCATACCTTTTCCTCATTAGCACAGGGAAAATACCAAATGCACCAAAGCCATATTTAGGATAATAAGCACATGATCTCAGACGCAAAATCCTAATAACAAGGAGCACATCAAATATCTAAAGTGGCATATAGTAAGGTACTTAATTGTATAAAATAAATAGAAGAAGTAATTTGAAGAATTAGTTTATTACCGTTCAGAATTTGAAACAAAGAGATCCACAAATGTATGGGGATCATCAATCTCCCTGATCATAAAAGTAACCGGCAATTGGATAAGTAAAAATAATTAGATAAAAAAAAAAGGCTAAGGAGTGGCTGACATGACATCAAACTGATTGTGTCTATACCTCTGCCAACGAAACAATGCATTCCCTGCAATTTTCTCCTCAGGCTTATGATCAAGTGGACATGACACCTGATAAGGTTAAGGGAAACAAATTTTGCTTCTTGTGGGAAATTGTCAGGCATGGTTGTAAGTAGTCAAAAACAAAAAAATATATATCAAAATAAATTGGATGATATTTATTTGCTCTGAACACATCACAGCATGAAAAGGAAAATACATTTCAAAATGAATCAGAAAAACCATCTTCAACAAATACTAAATATGCACTCATCCCGGCACTTCATCTAAGAATCAACTCAAGACCTTCCACAAGGACATTTCCAAGTTCATGAAAATAAGCAGATATTACTTTAAGCTCCCATGCTCTATTAGGATAGGAGAAATGTTGTAATGTGTAGCGGCCTGTGGCCTAGTAGGGGCATTTCTGCCCTTTCCTCTTGTATTTCTTATGAGCTGTCGCCCTAAGTATAAATACTAACTTAGGCGCCGCCAGCTTTAGATTAACAGAATAGATTCTTCTCTCTTCTCTCTTCTCTCTTCTCTCTTCTCTCTTCTCTCTTCTCTCTTCTCTCATCTCTGTTGAACTACATGGTATCAGAGCATCTCTGATCTGGGCGCAAGCTTCTCTTCTCAGATCATGGTTTCTTTCCTTTTCTGGAAATCTGTTTTTTCTCAGATCGTGGTTTCTTCTTCTGGATGCAACCTTCAGCCCCTGATTTTTTCTTTCTTCTCCATTGGTCGCTGTACCAAGGAGAAGGGTGTGGTGGCAGCCGAATGCAGTAAAAGATCTCTCCAGATCTGTGGTGGCAACCAAATGCAGTAGAGATCTTTCTAGATCTGTGGTGGCAACCGAATGCAGTAAGGTGTCTTTCTGGATTTGTGGTGGCAGCCGAATGCATCAAAACTTGATTTTCTGAGGGTTTTTCTATGTGCTGTGAGTTGTGGAAGACAGTTATGTACTGTTACATTCATACGTAAACATTTGACCACTGTGAATGTCACAGTTTTGAGACTGAAGGGACTGGTTGTCTCCTCCTCTTGTAAACCGAGGTGTTTCAAGTAAGAGTTATCACCTACTGTACTGTTAAACATTTTTTGGAGACTCCTATTTTTTTTTCAGACGAAAAACCCTCTATATCAGATTCGGTTTTTTAAAAAAACATCAGTAGATTTTCTGTGAAAATGGCTACTGAGGATTCAACAACCTCTAGTATTACTTCCCAGCAAGGAAACTTAAATGGGGGGATGGATGGCATGAATTTCTCTATGTCTATTACCCCCTTTGATGGTCTGAACTATCTGGAATAGTCCAAAGGCATCAAACTTTATGTTACAGCTAGGGGGAAGGCTGGTTATATAAGTGGAAAAATAAAAGAACAAAAGTCTGGTACTGCTGAACATGATCGATGGGATCAAGAAAACAGCATGGTTATGTCATGGCTGTTAGGCTACATATTACCTCATGTAAGGAAAAATTTCATATGGAGTGACACAGCTTGTGAAATTTGGGAACAAGCCAAGGCAACCTATTCTGAACAGAGGCACTTTGCCAAAATTTATCAACTTCAAGTAGAATCATCTACATGTAAGCAAGGGGACCGTAGCCTATCTACATACTACTCGGCCCTTACATCTGTCTGGAAGGAACTGGACTATTATCAGACCATTGACTAGAGGAATGACGAAGATGCATAGGACTATAAAAAACTTGTCTCCCAATAGCGGGTTTTTGCTTTCTTGCATGGGCTGAATCCGGCTTATGAGCCTCTCCAGGTGCAGATTTTGGGAAGTAGGGGACTTCCTTCAGTTCAAAAAGTATATGCTCTAGTCCAATCTGAAGAGAGTAGAAAAAATCTCATGAATGTTTCTGAGGGGGAGCAACCTGTTGCCCTAGCTGCAAGAGGGGGTAACACAGGAATGAAAAAGGGAGAACCAAGGAAAGTTGAAGATAAAGACAAACTTTGGTGTACTCACTACCAAAAGCCTAGACACACTCAAGAAACCTGTTGAGAGTTAGTGGGGAAGCCCAAGTGGGCAGCCAAAAATCAAGACACTTCAAAGAAGCCTCCTCAGAAGAAATTTACTTCTGCAAATTTGGCCACACAAGACTATCAACAAAATAATCATACTACTATTTTTCCCCAAGAACATCCCAGTGGTTCCGATCCCAAGGAAGACATCATCAACTCCTTTAGAGATCATTTGGAATTGTATGGTAGGGCACTCAGGCAGATAGATAGGTCAGTTCCTACCCCTTCTACCTCATTCGCCTCTACATTAGGTAAAGGTGCTTCTGCATTTCATGTGTGTACCTTTGCTCCCGAGTCACCTTGGGTCATTGACTCAAGGGCATCAAACCATATGATTGGTAAGTCCAATCGCTTTCAGACCTACACTCTTCTCTCTAGAAGGGATAAAGTGAGACTTGTTGATGGGTCTCTATCCACCATTGCTGGTCAGGGATCTGTATCCCTTCCTGATGGCCTTGTCTTATCCAATACCCTTCATGTTCCTAAACTTCCTATTAATTTGTTATCTATAAGCAGTATTACTCAGTCCTTAAACTATTGTGTAACTTTTTTCCCCATTTTTGTGTTTTCCAGGATTTAACCTCGGGGAGGACAATTGGTAAAGGAAATATGGTTAATGGCTTCTACATCTTGGAGAATAAAGTTGATCCTACGGCATCAGCCTCTGTGAGTCTTATGAGTTAGTCTGCAAACAGTCAACTGTGGTTATGGCATAATCGCCTTGGTCATTTGTCTTTTGAGTCTTTGAAAGTTGTGTTTCCTGAATTGTTCAAGTCAATGTCTATTACTAGTTTACATTGTCAAACGTGTCAGTTGAACAAGCATTGTAGAACAACTTTTTCATCAAATAATAAAAGATCTGCTTTGCCTTTCCATGTTGTCTTTTCTAATGTTTAGGGCCCTGTAAACATACCTATTGAGGGTGGGTACAAGTACTTTATCAGCTTTATTGATGACTATCGAGATACACTTGGCTATATCCCATGCATTCGAGAGAAGAGGTACCCAAGATTGTGCAAGATTTCCATCGCATTTCCATCGCATGGTTTTCACTCAATTTCATGTTGAAGTCCAAATCTTCCAATTGGATAATGCAAAGGAGTATTTCCATCATGACTTAGCTGAGTTTTTCTCCTCTCATGGATCTCTTCATAGAAGCTCATGTGCCAGAACACCACAACAGAATGGCATTGCTAAAAGGAAGAACCGCCATCTCCTCGAAGTTGCCTGTAGTATGATGCTTCACATGCATGTTCCAAAACGGTTTTAGGTTGATGCTATGATGGCTGCAGCTTATGTTATTAATCATATGCCATCGCGCCTCCTGCAATACAAGGCCCCACATCAACTTCTTTTTCCTCAATCTCCTTTATTTTCCATTCCCCTACGCATATTTGGGTGTAAGTGTTTTGTTCATGATCTCTCTCCCAGCCTGGGTAAATTGGACCCCAAATCTATTCCATGTGTTTTCTTGGGTTATCCCTCTTCCTAGAAAGGTTACAAATGCTTCAATCCGGTCACACATAAATACTTTGTGTCAATGGATGTGTCCTTCTTTGAATCTGAACCCTTTTTCCAAGCCTCTCCTCAGGGGGAGAATAGTGTGAAGGAGGAGAGGCAAGCTCCAACTCCTCAAATTCCTCTTCCCTTTATTCCTAACTCCTCTCCATTGTGCTTCTTCTTGAGGCGCCGTAAGGGACAGCTGAAAACTCAAAGGTTGTGGAGCAACTTGAGACTATACATCCAGCACCATCTGACTCCTTGAAGGAAAATCCAGTACCCTTGTTCCTTTTGATATTACTGAACCTATTGCTATTGATGACTCTACTAATAATCTTGATGTCCCAATTGCTCAAAGAAAAGGGGTTCGATCATGTACTACTAAGCATCCTATTGCTCAATTCTTGTCCTACAAAAACATTGCTCCCTCATTTCATGCTTTTTTGACTGCCATTGATTGTGTCTCCATTCCCAAAAGTGTTGCAGAAGCCTTATCTATACCTGAATGGACAGAGGCAATGAGGGAAGAAATCAGTGCTCTTCACAAAAACAACACCTCGGAGTTGGTGAATCTTCCTGAAGGCAAAGAGCCAATGGGATGCAAGTGGGTATTCACAGTAAAGCATAGAGCAGATGGGTCAGTTGAGAGGTATAAAGCCAGATTAGTTGCAAAAGGGTATACTTAGGTGTATGGGGTTGACTACGCTGAGACTTTTGTCCCAGTTGCTAAAATGAACACTATTCGGATTATACTATCACTGGCTGTTAACTTTGATTGGGAGCTCCACCAACTAAACATCAAAAATGCATTCTTAAATGGGGATTTGGAAGAAGTGTACATGATTCAGCCTCCTTGGTTTGTAGCACAAGGTTGTGAAGGGAAAGTTTGCAAACTAAAAAAATCTTTATATGGTTTGAAACAATCCCCAAGGGCCTGATTCAGTAGATTTCACTTGGTCCTTCAGCAAATTGGGTTCAAGCAGTGTCAATCTAACCATACTCTATTTGTCAAGAGAAACTAGAAGAATGTTGTGGTATTAATTGTCTATGTTGATGACATTGTGATTACAGGGAATTGGGACTCTGAGATTAAAAAGGTTAAAGAATCCCTTCCTATGCAGTTTGAGGTGAAAGATCTGGGACAGCTACGTTATTTCCTTGGAATTGAGGTTGCTTGCTCAAAAAGGGGCATCTTCATTTCCCAAAGGAAGTATGTCCTAGATCTCTTACAGGACACAGGAAAGTTAGGAGCAAAGCCTGTAGATTCTCCTATTGAGGAAAACCATCGACTTGGAAATTGTATTGGAGAACTCGTGACAGATGTCAAGAAATTTCAAAGGCTGGTAGGAAGACTTCTCTACCTATCAATGACTCGGCTAGATATAGCTTATGTTGTTGGTGTACTTGGTTAGTTTATGCATGCACCAACATCCTCTCATTTAGAGGCAGCTGAGAGGGTTCTCAGGTATCTGAAGAAGTATCTAGGAACTGGGTTACTTTTCAAGAAACATGATCATATGAAAGTGGAAGTCTACACAGATGCAGATTAGGCTGGGGTAGTTGATGATAGGAAATCAACTAGTGGATATTGTACCTTTGTTGGTGGAAACTTGGTTACTTGGAGAAGCAAAAAACAAAGTGTTATGGCCAGATCTAGTATTGAGGCCGAGTATAGGGCCATGGCACATAGAATTGCTGAAGTACTATGGGTAAAGAATTTGAYTAGAAAGTTGAGTCTCTCTGTTGATGGCCCAATGTCCCTCTACTGTAACAACAAGGCAGCCATTAATATTGCTGCCAATCCAATTCTTCATGACAGGACCAAGCATATTGAAGTTGACAAGCACTTCATAAGGGAGAAACTTGAAAAGGGGGAAGTCTGTACTCCTTACATCAGTTCCAAGGAACAACTAGCAGATGTTCTTACAAAGGGTCTTCACTATTTATAGCATAACGAACTATGTGACAAGTTGGGCACGATTGACATATACGCTCCAACTTGAGGGGGAGCATTGTAATGTGTAGTGGCCTATGGCCTATTAGGGGCATTTCTGCCCTTTCCTCTTGTATTTCTTATGAGTTGTCGCCCTAAGTATAAATACTAACTTAGGCGCCACCAGCTTTAGATTAACATAATAGATTCTTCATTCTTCTCTCTTCTCTCTTCTCTCTTCTCTCTTCTCTCTTCTCTGTCGAACTACAAGAAATACAAGTTAACAAAACCAAACTGCATAAAAGAATGGCTTGTCCTTAATTATAAATCAAAATATTAAATGCAAATAATCACATAAGCACACTCTTTCTCAGATAAATCTTAGGATAAAGACCATCATCCACTGATGATCCCAGCTATCTAGGTCCTTGGGAGGGGTAGGCTGGCAAAGATGTCTTTAAAGATACAGATTATAGAAAAAAAAAATTAGATTTATATTCCAAACTATAATCAGTTGAACATACGAGCTCCCTATATGATAAAGAGTCAAAGTCATTGGGCTAGCAATTGAAGCTTCACGAGCTATCATGTTTTAAGACAAATGGCAGTTGGCATAACATCTATTTTAAAACTTTAGAGGAATGGATTTTTCATTTTGATCAGCAACCAACCAAGAACAAAAAACTAAATGAAGCATTAATATATAGAGATTACAAAAATTAAAATGTCAATGCATCATGTAATTTAAAGGTAGAACACCAACCACAGAATCCAATAGATGGAAAGCTTACTGACAGTCATTCATCAAAAAAAAAAAAAAAGAAAGCTTACTGACAGTCGTGCATGCAACAGCCAAATAATGGATTCAAAGTTAAAACTGAAGCAACGTGATGCAAGATTGAGAAATGTGAAGCAATTGATTATTGCACATTTTTAGAAGCAAAAACTAATTCAAAACTAGAATGAAAAAGAACGGAAAGTAGCTAACTCAGATGGATACCATTGCAACGAGGTCTACATTAGGGTCATCAATTGGCTTTAGCATGATTCTTGTGCTAAAATGCTTTGCTGCTTCAAAGTAATCCTCAAAAAGGCACTTCAAAGCAAGCTTTCCAAATAACAGGTCATATGAAGACTCCAACATCCTGCATTGATTTACAAATATTTCAACCACATTTTAAATTTGGGCTACCCCAAGCTTTCCAAACTATTGTTTACAGTGGGGAAGAAAAAGGCAAGATAAAGAACAACGATATCACTGGAACTTGCAAAATGCAGCTTATTTACAAGAACCCCTCGACATAGCATGTTTATCTAAACATCACGAAATAGATCCCTCATGTTGCATAACTCAGATGTTCCTAACATTCTGATTAATGAAATATTGATACTTATTCGCATATTGACCACTAGCCAAAAGAAAATCCCTTCTTTTTTGGCATGAAAGTTATCTTTTCCCCAAAAAAAATTAAAAAAAAAAATAATGCCACAGCATCCCAAGCAATTTAATTTCATATACTTGTAACCCAGAAATCTGGATAAAATGGTATGGAATTATGATCATCTGCACACTTTAACCTGTTGATTTGGACCATGGTACACTATGACTCTATGAGAGCTCCTTTGAAGGTTAAGGTTGCCTAAAATGGAAGGAATTTTGGAAATGTAACCAATGCAAAAAAAAAAGGCTGTCCTAACATGTATATCATTTTTTTAAGCCATTTAATTAATGACTGCGTACCATAAGTAAACGAAAAGGAACGTATTAGCAGAAAGGTATATGATCCAATAATAGACAAATAACCAAAAACACAAGAAAACTGAACAGCAACACGATAGCTTAACAGCAGTGTAGTAGGTATTCACATGTGCTCCCCGAACGACTAACAAGTAAACACTTTTGGTAACACTAACACAGGTTTTAATTGCTGGGTGTTAACGCGTTTATGAAAGTGTATATAATATGCCTTTTAGGAGCAAATTAAACAAATGAATCCCTTAAGTCATTCTACAATTCACAACCAACAAAGGGAAATAGATTCAATGGGGAGGATACCATCTACATTTCCGTTCAGGTGAATGCATCCCATATAGAATATTCTCTATCCATCAAGAAAGTGATGAATTACTCGATGGCCTTTGTTAATATCGAACCCACGCGTTTTGATGTCGTGATATCAAAGTCCGCTTTATAGTGATGGGGAAAAAGTAGTGATGAACTGAAATATCTGTAATTCTAACAGGAAAGATGAAGAAACTTACGATATGCATCTGTGTTTAGTCCAGTGGAGCATATGTTTCCGAATATAAAGATGAATAAAATGATAAATGCAAGGGGAATACGAGATGGACTTACTACATTTTTCACGGAAAAAAATTAAAATCATAAGCCAAAGGAGGTAGCAATAAGTTAACCTGGTACGTGCAGCCAAAGGAGGGAAATCAAACATAGGTGGTACCAAAACCACTGGTGGAGGTGCTTCTTTGTTCAACCAGTTCCCCATCTCTCTCTCTCTCTCTCTAAGTTCTCTGCAAGTGATATCAGAAATACATCCTCAGAATACAAAAGAGAGCAAGAGAATGAAGAGAACGAGGAGAACCGAAAACTATGAGCCTTCCCCGCGTTTCTCTCCTGTGTTCGATGACACGTTCAAAGACAAAAGGTCGGTGACTTGCGGTACCGTAAAGTGGGAATAACCCAATTTCCGGTTTTTTGACACATCCCTCCTTGCTCCTTCACATTCAGATTTCAATGTTTGGAACTCGATTCACTTGTAGTTGTAAGTTGTAATTTTACTAATTTTCCACTTAGTAGATTCTACAACATTTTTTAGTCGTTTTGCAAATTTCAATAAAAAATTCAGAGCACAACAGTGAATAAATACCTAGCTTTTGGAGTCCGGATCTCCTTTTCACAAAAACTCTGCCTACATTTATCTACATAATATCTCAGCTACACATGGGAAACATCTCATCCTCTACAGAGTATTATGCATAGTGAGATATTCCTAATACAGGGAGGTAGTATGTTGTAGGTAGACGTGGACAAGAGATCCAGAGTTTATCCATTGGAGAGGAAACACTAAAATTAAACTTCCCCAATGGTAGGCACACATGTAAATCAAAGTCTAATTTTGCAATTCTCTATGTGTAAGGATCCGCATAATGGGAAAATGCTAAAATGGTGCCTATGTGATAGTGTTTATTCAATAAATGCCCACGGTTCCAAGTATTGTTGTAGTAAATAGTCAATAATTATTAGGTTTGTTTACTTTTTAGGGTTTTGAGGGGGAATTTTAGGTAATGGTATTGTGGTTCCATGTAAGGCGAATACTCTTTTCATGCTTTAGGTAATTTTTTTCCCAATTAGAGGGTAAATGAAAATAATTAAATAGAAAAAATGAGCCCACAAGATACATTTATCTAAATAAAACAAAAAAAAAGAACATGGATAAATGCATTTATCTGAAAAAATAGGTTCAAGCAAATAATAATAAAAATTACAAATTAATTAGGGCTTCAACTTGGACTGAGTTAGCCCTAATCCAAGCATCCAATCCGGGTAAAAAAAAAAAAAAACATATGTTGTGTTTTTTTTTGGTAAAAGAAAAACAATTCATTGCAGCAAGAGAAACCCTTTTTTACTTTGGGTTGGGTTAGGCAACCTGAACCCAACTTTTACTATTGAACATATGTATTATAGTCCTTCACAAACCATTAATTCGTTTGCCTTAGTTATGAAGTACATATGATTTTCATTCCATGATTTTTTATACTTTATTTATTGATGATTTCATGATTAAAATTTCAATAAGGGATTTATCGTAATTCATAATATATTAATCATTAAAAAAAACTACATTCTTTCACTTCTATGGTAAAAAACCCATTAAAAACGTTAGAAAGCAAATTCCAATAAAAATTTGATCAGTATATAATGCTAAAACAAGGAAATCTTACTTTTCTCTCTTTTTTTTGGGGAGGGGGTTTATAGTTCAATCCACCCCTAGGGTGGAGTTAAGATTTCTAGGGGTATTACTGAATCCTACCCGTGGATTGATGCCAAATTCACGGGCAGGATGCGGTTTATAGGGGGCTACTAGTAGACTAGGAGGGGACTGCAATATAATTTAGATTTCTGAGGTGGATTGCAGTCCACTTATCCCTCTTTTTTGGACTAGTAAATGTGCATGTGTTTTGCACATGGCAATTCTAGATGATGAGATAGTAATTAATGTATCAAAAATTTTATATAAATATATTTTTTTTGTTTTTTATTATTAAATATTAGATGCAAATTGCAAAAACCAAATCTCGTTACATAAAACACCTCATCCAAAAATGTGGTAATCGGATCGAATTGTGAAGTTTCAAATATCATTGACAAACCTACCTACTTGGACATAATTTTCTTTTTGTAATGTTTTATCTTTTTAGTGTGCTTTTTTGTTCGTTTATCAAATATCGATTTAAAAAGAAGGAATTGAATGAGGTGAAAAGTAGTATTTCTATTTACAATTTAAACCTCACTATTAAATGGGGACTAAATTTAAAATAGATTATTTTAGTTAAAAGAAAGTCTCATAATCATGTTGATATTTAAATAGTAGCGCCAAATATAGAATTATAGGTGAAAAGTAGTATTTCAATTTACAATTTAAACCTCACAATTAAATAGGGACTAAATTTAAAATAGAGTATTTTAGTCAAAATAAAGTACCACAATCTCGTTGATGTTTTTAATAGTAGTGCAATTATAAAATTATAGATGTGTTCAATTTTTTCTATATTTTTTTTGTGTAAAAATAATTCTAATATGTCATACTTACTTCTTGTTTAATATGATAATTATATGATACTATACATGTGCCTAAATGTTCTTTTGCAAAATATATATATTGTATTTTTATATTTTACTAATTTTGGGCCCGTTTGGTGCGTCTTTTCGCGCGGTCTTTCGACTATTTACAAGTCGGGAAGACCAATTTTTAGTCTATTCCCATTTGGTTCGCGGAAGATCTAGCCGCCAAAAGATGGAGCGCCGAAAAGACACGAGAAGTCCATTTCAGGCTGATTTCGGGAAGGTTCAAATGAATATTTCCTTGTCTTTCGCGTTTTATTCTCGCACTGAAAGACACTAAAAGATGCATGAAAAGACATGCATCTACCAAACGTGCTTTGGACTGCTCAGATCTTCATGCAAAAGCTCAATGCATCTTTTGCATGTCAGAGCTACCAAAAGATCTTCCCAAAAAGACGCGCCAAATGGGCCTTTTATTATTCATTTATGTATTTATGGCATTAAATGTTAACACATTTGACCCAAAAATTGAACTATTCATATTTGCCAACAGTAAAATATTTAATTTTTGTTAGTTATAAATTGTGTATTTAATTTTCATTGTCAATGAAAATTAATTATTGTTTATTACACTTGTTTTTTTTCAATTTGATTAATAAAAATATCATAAATGTGTCTAATTTTTCCTACATTTTTGTAATTTTCTATATGTATCTCTATTTTAGAAAATTTATTACCTAATTATGACTTCATAAGTTGACCAATTTGATTCAAATGGTTAGATTGCTTAGCCACCACTTTAATAAAGAATGTTTTTGTTTTTGAGTCGGTTTTAAAATATACAAGTTAATTTATATTGCTAAAAAATATTGGCATATATCTAATTAGTAGCATTTATTAGTGAAGCATGACTTAAATATGAAATTTAATCAGAGAAAAATGGAAGTTAATACCTTAAGTTACAAGACTTAATGAGAGGGGATTAAATAAAGTAGAGAGTAATAATTGAAGTTACATTTCCAACATTACAGTTAGAGATGGACTAAATAGATAAATATGGGCATTTTAGTAGCCATTAAAGTTGTCATTAAAACTACGATAGAGGGTAATTTTARTCTAAAAAAGCTTTCACTATGCATCCACACTTTTATATAGCATAGATTTTTATTTTTTTTTTGTTATTCCATGTCATTTTTAAAACAACCAATTAGAGCACTTCCTTACCCTTCAGAATATTCCATAAAATCTCTCTCTCTCCCTCCCCCCCCCCCTATCACACCTTTCAAATCACATGAATCGTCTTCTCTTCTAAAATTTATCCTAAACTATCTTCCCCGCCTAAAACTTCATCCTAAAACATCTCATAATCTATCTCACAATAAACCATGAAGGTTGTCAGTGAGTTGGRGTGGACTTAGCACACCCAATGGGGTCAAATCGATTGGGTTGGTTCAGATTCCAGGAATCGAAAACGGATGGGTTAGTTATGGTTCTTGATATATTATTCCGATTATTATTAGTTCAGGACCAATTCCACCTAATTCCATCACATCAAACATGATTGTCATAAGAATCGAACAATTAGTTCTAGGTTTAAAATTACAACCCTATTAGGTTTGGTTTGGTTTTAGGTCATTAGTATTTATTGTCAGGCCAGTTCCGGTTCTACCTGGACTAACCTGACCCAACATGTTGATAGTCATATAAACCATCTAATTATAAAGCCTATTTCCCAACCCATCTCTCTCTCTCTCTCTCTCTCTCTTTCTATCTATACCTTCTAAATACACACATTTATTTTTCATCAATGCATTAAAATATTAATGTTTAAGTTAAAGCTTCTTAAAAAACATATTAAGTTAAAACAAAAACATTGAAATAAGATGAGTGAAAAATATCTAAAATACTAATAAGAGAAAAAATAATGCAATAAGACAAATAATAAAACTAAAGAAATCAAATATAGTAATTAAGTAAAATATTATTATAATTATAAATAATATTTTCATATTATTATTATTATTATAAAATTTAATAATTAATTATGATAGTCTTATAATTACAAAGTAATAAAATGTATTCTTTATTTAAAAATGATCAACACAATAGAAAATTCAAAATAAATTACTACTTTTACTTTAACAATAATAGTTGTTAAAATTAATTACAATAATATTGTACTTAATTTATAATAAAAAATTCTAATGTTATTACAAATTTTAAATAGTAATAAACTTAGCATAATACCATAACTTAAAATTACACATCAATAACAATTATACTATATAAATTAAAATTTAATAAAAGTAAAAAAAGTTATTAATTTAAACTCAATTTTGAAATAATGAAAAAAAAACACACAACAATTTGGGTTCAGTACGGATTTGCTTTCACCTTCCTTTTCACCATCTAAACTTCCCAAACATTAAATGTATATGATAATTAAAATATCAATTTATTTTTATATTTTTAGTATTTAATTATTCATAAATATATAAATTTTTGAAGAATAATTTATTCATATCAATGATTATTGAAAAAAGAATTTGAATGTATAATATTAATTCATTATTATATGAAATTTATTATATATTGTTATTATTTTAAATTGATAACTATTACATACAAGTTTTAGTAATTTTTAGATAATTATTTATCTTTTGAAATTTAAGAAATTAATTTTGAGCAATTGTAGTAAATTTAAGGTGAAAGGGTAAATTTCTTAAACTACCCCGAAGGTTTAGGAAATTGACTAACTATATCCCTATTGTTTTAGCATTGTCTTAAAGTACCCCTATTGTTTCTGGCAATTGTCTAAGTCTTCCTTATCGCCATTATCTGTTAACAAAAGAATTAAAAAGACTATCTTCCCCATCATTCTTCTTTAAATTTTCAAAATGAGGGCCTATCAAAAAACACCACCCGATGCTGGATCTCGAGAACGATAGGTGGCACCAACGATCAAGAGCCTCGAACCCAACTCGATGAGTGCAAATCTACTGAAGATGGAAAAGCTTCACTGTTCATCTTTTTCCTACCAATGGAAAAGCCTCGAACACAACTTGATTTCTTTTCATTTCTCTTATTCATATCCCTCTCCATCCCCCCTCTATCTCTTTCTTCCCGCTCTTCTTCTTATTCTTCTTCCCTCCATCGACCTCACCTCCCTTGTTTCAATGTAAGACCACATCGTCGTCACTGTGACTTCTAGTAGTGGTGGTGGTCTCTCTCTCTCTCTTCTTTCCACTCTCCTTCTTCTCCTTCCTCCTTGTTAACTTTACCAATACCTCATCGTTGCCACTGCAACTACCTCTGACCCTCCCGCCTACAAAGTGGGACTTATGGGCGATGACGATGGTATTAGGAGGAATCGAAGATGGAGAATAGAGTGAGACTTGCTAAAGTGTGTGGTTTTACAAAGGGGAGCAAGGACGAACATTGATATCTACAAAATTAATGTTTCTGATGAACTGATTTGAGAAGGATGGTGGTATTTTAGCTTTTTTATTCGAAGTGAGCTGATCTCTGCAAATTCGATGTTCCAATGTGCATTTTTTGTTTAAACATAGATCTCAAACTAGAGACCATTCCTCGGATTCCAGGTTTTTTGTAAGTGAAATCCTAACTCTGAAAATTAACAACCCTATACAGCTTTCCCCAATGCTTGTACCTTCATCTCTTTGAATTAATGGCGACGAAGGATTATTTGTTCTTTTGTCATTGACACCACAATACTTGGAAGCTTAATGGCCTATGTGATGTTGCTGACAAAAGCTTTCAAGGGGCTCCTATAGAAATTAATTGCAGAGTCGAAGTTGGAGATGAAGACGAAGACGGAGTTGGAGACGAAGATGTAGATGAACACGGAATCAGACACAGTTGGAGACAGAGTCGGAATCGGAGAGGGAGACGGAGACCGATGGAGAATGGAGTGGAACCATAAAAGGGTATTTTAGGAATTTTAAAATATATATCTGTCACATGATGTCAAATGTAAACGGAGTGTGGCGGAAAGTTAATGGTAAGGGAGGTTTTAGACAATTGTTAGAAAACTTGAGGGTACTTTAAAATAATATGTAAACAATAGGGGTATAGTTAGTCAATTTTCTAAACCTTAGGGGTAGTTTAAAATTTGCATTTAATTTTGGTAATAAAAATTATTAATTGATATTTTCATTTACATTGTTTTTTGACAATTGTTAAATATTAATTTGGAAAATTATGGAGGAATTTTAACTATATTTATAATTTTYAGAACTTTTCAAATAGTGTAATATTGGAAAACATTGAATTCAATTTTTTAATAATTTCCACCATTAATTATTGGTAATTTACATTGTTTTTTGATAATTATTAAATTATAAAATTATTACAGAATTTTAACATTGATAATTTATATTTGGTAATTATTAATAATTTCCATAGGTACTGGTAATTTACATCGGTTTTGGCATTTATTGGGAAATTTTAATTTAGTGATTTTCATAAACTAATTTCCATGGTTTTGGTAATCTAATTTAGTGAAATTTAATTTAAAAAAATACTAATTTATTGAATTTTGTTTATATTTTTCAGTAATTAATTATTCATAGATTCAATTTTTTTTTTGGGAAATTAATTTCTTCATATCAATAAAATTTGAAATAGTTACTCATGTCAATTCAGAAATTTATTCATAAACATTTGAAAAGTAATTTGTTCATATCAATGTTTTTACTAAGGATTTTTTAAGGTATTCAAGTTTTCTTTTTCTTTTTMTTTTTATTTTTTAATTTTATGTTGTGCAAACAACAATAAATAGAGATTCTTTAATAATCTAGTTTTAAATATCCCATGCCGAAGTGTCAATTGGTTGGTTGGTTGTAGTAGCAACTTAGAATCCAATCCAACTCACACTAGGGTTGAGGGATGATCCCCTCCATAGTGTAGCCCCATGTAGTAACAATTTTTAGCCGGAGAAGTATGGATACATCCGATGCAGAATTCTGAATTCTAATTCCAACCCCCCTACTAATAGCCCTCTTCCTCCCTATAAACCACATCCTGCCCATGAATTTGGCATCAATTCATGGTCAGGATGCATTCCCTCTGTATTATGGGGCTATAAAATTCTGATCTGGGCTGATTGGTCATTCTCCCATTTTTAAGCTTTCCATGAAATTTGACATTTAGAAAAAAAAATTGACGTTTTTCAAATGATGAATTAATAATATTAATAAACTTTATGATTAATAATTCCCTACTTTATGAATTAATAATTCATAAAGTAGGTAATTATTTAAAAATAAAAATTGATTTAATCTATTAAATTAAATAACAAATCTAAAATAAACTAACCTAAGTACTTCTTCCACCAAAAAAGGGTTCTAGGTCATTCACTAGTATGAGAACAAAGATGAGCCTCAACTGCCTAATTGGTACCTTTCAAAAAAAAAAAAAAAAAAACTGCCTAATTGGAATCCCCTCAACTGTCAAGGGGTCCCCTTTCACGCACACAAGATGCCTGGGGCACACAAGATCCCTTTCACTTCTCACTTTTCGTCCGATTCACGGAATCACGCCCGCGGCGAAGAAGAAGCAATTTGTGGCACAAAAAGTGCGACCGTGAATCAAATCTTGCACTATAGAAAAGAAAACATGGGGTCATGGCGTTTTTGGTTTTCCGTCGTTGCACTTGACATGCGCCGAGTGTGATCGATAGCCAAAAGTTGCAGTATTTATATCCATAAATTTTATTTGAGTTCCACTACGATGCCGAAAAGGCACCATTCATACCTGAAAATTTTAATGGCCATCGATTGCCCAAATCCCTTCCTGTATCATGACTTTTGGATATAGGTAAAATTCATATGTGGGTTTTGATTGGTCAAAACTCTTCCTATAACATATATTTTCCACATCATAGATTTTCCCATATACATTTAATACTTCAATTGAAACAAAACCCATGAAGGAAAAGTGTTACAAGGCACGCCACTCATCGTTAAATTGAGCTGCCAAAACGGATCGAATGGCTGGCTATAGTCACAGCTTCTATGAGATGAGGTTTTAAAAATTAAACCATTAACATTTGTTCTCTGGGAGAGGTTTTCAGGTGAACCAATGGGTAGAAGAGAAGTATGGACATAACTTGATTCCAATTGCGATTTCACAACTGAAACAACAAAACAACTAATCAGTAAAACAATCAAAAGTTCAAAACCTATCTCATTACAGTGCCCGGACTTGGAGAAAAAAAAAAAAAGCTTCTCTCACTTTCACATAATTTTGGGCCCCCTTATGATGACGGGACGATAATGGAATGGTTGAAGAAGATAGAGAAGTCGACTAATATTAACCATTCATTTTGGAGGCCTTTAATGATCGGCCCACTTGACGATTACGTCTCAACAATAAATAGAAAAAGGAAAAATTTGACCAGTCATCCAATTTGCTGGCACGGCGCCATTATACAAAGTGGCTCGTCAATGGAGGGTCCATCTCTAACGAATACCAGATTAGATTTTCATTTTCCTATTCATTTTTGTTTAATTAGTAATAGTGGGAAGAGAAAGATTCTCCTCTTGGGTGGTTGATGCAATGATCTATGCTATATAGAGAGGTCTGCTGGAGTTGAATTATGCAATTAGAATGTGGAGAATCACACTATCAATTCTTACTTGGTTTTAGTTATTCACGACTTGTGGAGCTCGTTATTGTCCGGCTTACAGACAAGAAAGGAAAAAGATTTTAGTAAATAATCATTCTTGGTGATACAATGAGAAAAAAATAGGAAAACGCAAGGCCCACAAAAGCATGGTACGAACTTCAAGGATGCTTCTTACGCAAAGCTGCAGGAAAGAAAGTCAGCTGTGGCGCCTCGGAATTGTATTAATAGGATTCTTCTTTCCATTTCATGTAGTGGAACTTGGAACAACACGAGCTCGTTTATTGGCTGCCTCCATTCATGTGTTCTGTCCTCTCAGGCACGGCCAATACCAGGTTTAGATACGTCGTGGTGGATGTTTTTTAATATATAGGAGTACGAAGGGCAACGAAAACCAGAGAAAAAGACTGTAAATCTCGATACCCTGTTGCTTGTTTTAGTGTTTAAGTTGTGTAGCCTCGTTTATTGGTTGTCTCCCATTCATGTTTTTCGTCCTCTCAGGGACGGCTAAGACCAGGTTTAGATACGTTGTGGTGGATGTATTTTAATCTATAGGAGTACGAAGGGCAACGAATACCAGAAAAAAAGACTGTAAATCTCGATACCCTGTTGTTTGTTTTAATGTTTAAGTTGTTTCCGGATCTAGGTCGTCTTGGTTTTCGTTCAGATCTTTTTCTTTCCCGGTTTTAGTTGCAAATACCCAAATACCTTGTCTGTGTGATGACCTGAATTATATGTTTGGTTATTAGGTATCATTGTCTCTGTTTTTGACTGCTTTTATTCAGATTTCCAGAAGATTTTTAATCTGCTTTTGTTATGCTTTCAATACATAATGAACGTCTTGGCAGAAACGCGAAATCTTTTTTCTTCTTATATTGGTTTTAGTTGTGATTCTCCTCATTGGGTGATGCTGAGTTTTACGTTGAGTTTGTTAATGTGTTTATCCCTGCTTTGGTTTCTTAAAATCATTCTTTGGCAACTGGGCGGGTAGATTATGTCCTATTCGGATTTCCCTTTTGGAATCCATTGGATTCAGTGGGATAGTTTGGTTTACCGAAAATAAGAAAAAGAAATCCAACATACCTCATGCTCTTGCTTGTTTGGCACGCTTATCGTGTGGGGAAACGGAGACGTTTATATGGATTTTTTGGTGTTTATTTTCCTTGATAGAATGTTTAGCGAACTTCGAAATTATTGTTGATGTGCTGTGGAATCCATTGGATTCAATGAGTGTATGGGCTCTTTTGTCAGCCACCAATCCTCTACCTTGAATTTGTAAATATTCTCTGGGTTGTAATTTGCAAATTTCTTTTAAGTAACTGAGGTTCATGAAATCCATAAGACATATAACAATATATTGAAGTTTATCTCTGCCCTCATCTTACTTAATATTGTTATCTTAACAGAAAGATTGCAATGGCGACTGGTCTGGTGACTGGAAATGGGCACTTGCATTTTCCAGCGAAATTATGCAAAGAACAAGGTTGTAGGCAAGCTCCTTGGGTATCTAATGTTACTTTGAGGAGGTGTCTACAGAAAGAGTTCCCCAGGTGCTTATTAGATGAGGATCTTTATTTTACAAGCAGCTGTACATCTTCTGTCAAAGCTAATCACATTTTTGTTATCAACTTGCATATCAAAAACAAATTTCGTCATGCTTATGCTCTAATTTAAGGCTATGCTTCTGCTTGTTACTCACTTCTCAATTTTTCTTATGTTATATGTTCTAATTTAAGGCTATGCTCTTGCTTGTTTGTACCAGATCATCTGGAGTATCGAAGATGTTGCAGGTCCAAGGATATGACTTTTCCCTAGCTCTTTTGAATAAGAATGGGAATTCCCACAGAACTGTTACTGTATCATGCTTGAACGATGGTACCACCAAGTATTTTGACTTTGTTGTCATTGGCAGTGGAGTTGCTGGTCTTCGTTATGCTCTTGAAGTTTCAAAACATGGGTCTGTTGCATTGATTACAAAGGCTGAGCCTCATGAAAGCAACACAAACTATGCACAAGGTGGTGTCAGTGCTGTTTTGTGCCCCTTGGATTCTGTAGAGAATCATATGCGTGATACAATAGTAGCAGGGGCTTATTTATGTGATGAGGAGACTGTTAGGGTAAGCTCCTTCACTGGCCACCATTTTCATGAACTTCATATTGATCAGTTAATAAAATTATTTGTTTCTCCACTATCACAATTTACATTCTTTTTGCCCTTGCTCTTGGATGTCGTTCTTAACTAATGGCTCACCTTCATTCATGTCCTTTATAAAATTGCAATCTGTTTAATTTTGTCCTAGTCTGACTAATTAAACCATTGGAATGAAAAGCATCCCTCTATAGTTTTGAACATGAATCACTAAAAAATTAGAATCTTCTTGACTGCTTTGGATTGCAGATATTTTAATCTTTAATTGCATTTTTGATCTTGATTCCATGGCAATGACACCAAAATTCTGGAAAGATTACTTGTAAGAAACAATTTCACACAGATCAAGTTTGCAAATTGGATTTACATCTTTCTGGAGATTTTCTTTTAAAATATTAAAGCATAATTCTTCAAGAAGTTGCAGTCATATGTTCTAATGAGGATTGACAATCTGAGTTTTTTTTTGGAAAAGAGGCTGGATATTCATATAGCTTTCTTAAGGTGTTTCGGGGCTTAATAATTCTTACATTATGTTACCATGTCGGTTTCTGATCCACATGCATCTGTTTTATGAAAATTTAAGTGTTTCTAATTTACTTTTTGGCTCTTGTGGCATTATTCAAGCCTAAAATTTAGTTATTTTTGTGCAGGTGGTTTGCACAGAAGGTCCTGACAGGGTTAGGGAGCTGATTGCTATTGGTGCATCATTTGATCATGGAGATGACGGGAACTTGCATCTAGCAAGGGAAGGAGGACACTCTCATCACAGGATTGTTCATGCTGCTGATATGACTGGAAGGGAGATTGAGAGGGCATTATTGAAAGCAGTAGTTGATGACCCTAACATCTTTATGTTCGATAACCATTTTGCTATAGATTTGCTAACAACTCAGGTTACATTCCCATGAATTTGCTTTATTTCTTTCCTTCTCATAATTGCATTGCATGTAGTGTAGAGATTTGATAGTTTTTATGAGTTAACTTCACAAGAAGAAATTGAGCATCCCAGATGGATGGTCCATCAACTTTATAATGATATAATGGACCTAACACTTAAGAGTTGAGATACATTGATGGTTTTGCAGGATGGTTTAGAAACATATTGCCATGGTGTTGACACTCTAAATGTAAAGACACAAGAGGTACAATAAAATGGTTTTTTGTTAGAGTTCTTGCTCTCTTGTCTATTACCTTTTCTTTTTATTTTGTTAAATTGATTTATCGCATTCCCCTGCAGTACCTGTTAACCATATGTTATATTTTCTTCATCTTACTTTTGACTGCTTACATTTTACAGGTTATGCGATTTATCTCTAAAGTTACTTTACTTGCATCAGGTGGAGCGGGGCACATCTATCCCACAACTACTAATCCACTGGTATTCTCTAGCTTCTCGGTTTCTCCTCGAACTATAATCTCCTTTTGTATTTTCTGAGAAAATGGAACTCTTTGAACTTTCTTGCCAATGAAGCTTGTGACTGGAAAGAAAACCTCACATTTGGTCTGTAAGGGAGCTAGCACAGGTCTATAGAAGGATTTGGTACAAAGACTTGTATGGTCTCCACCAAATCAGAATCAACTAGAGGCTGCTTGGTACTGAAAGGGCGCCTTTTTTTTGTTTATTTATATTCTTAGTGGCAAGGCTCGGTGGTTTTCCTTGGGTTCAGCCCCTCCCCTCTCATATGATGTGCTCCATTTTTTAAATAATTAATAAAACATGGGTTGAGGGAGGAAGGTCCATAAGAGGCTGTCTCCACAACCTCTGGAGGCAGGGTGGGCAAGTGGGCATGGATGTTTCAATGAACTGGTTGTAACCTGGCAAAGGAGGGCAGTGTATTGATCAAGAAAATGAACCTGGCAAAGGAGGTCCATAGGGTGGTCTGAAGTCTATCTCCTAGCATTTCATTTAAAATCAAGAAGAGAATGGTTTCTTATTTGATCCTGTAGATAGTAAGAACGTCCGTAGTAGTATTTGGAGTTTGGTAATGTCCATTCTACCTACTGGCTCTTTGGTTCTTCCCAGTGGACTACTGTCTAATGGTGAAGCAAAAGTAATGCTCCCTAAACTTTCTTTATTAATTAATCACTCAAGAGTTTGTCTGGTTCTTCTTGCCACAATCATTTTTATGGGCTTTAATTTATAGAATCAACATTAGTAAAAACACATTTACAAGCTTTTATCTCCCCAAGCACCAGAAGTATAGAAAATTGAAGAAATTTCTCCAAGCTTTTCAAAATTTGATGATAGTTGAGAATGTAATCTGGTTTTCTTAACTACGAATCATTCAATAAAGATAACAACTTTTGAGTCTTTGATCTGTTAATATGCAGAAGTCCAGCTGTGTATGCAGTTAATGTTGTAAATGTGTATTTTCATACTTTAAGTACTGTTAACACATTAGTATCTCTTCATAAAATATAAATACACTCAACGACAAATAGATACGGTATTTTCCTCTTCTGACGTCTAAAGAATAAAACGGAAAAGGAGAAAACAAGAATATAAACATTCTGTCTTCTGTATGGACCACTGTATATATTTCCCACATAGTTATTTTATGTTGAATAAAGCATAACTCCTTGTGGTTTTATATTATTTCTGTTATGATTGACCTTTTAACTATTGTTATCTGTACACAAACTCTATCAGACAATTCAATATTGTGGAGTTTAAAGATAGATGCTCCTCTGTGTCTGTGTAATGCAATAAAAGGAAATAATGTTTATGATGCTTATGTGTATTTTCCCACCTTTAAATGATCATGCATATGGTTGCGCAGGTAGCCACTGGAGATGGTGTTGCTATGGCCCATCGAGCTCAAGCTGTGATCTCCAACATGGAGTAAGTAAATTAGCATCTGGTTGTTTAATCATTCTCTGTCTAGCTTATTCCTTAAAATACTGTATGTGTTTATAGTGGCCACAATGTAGTAACTCTAAGGATAATTTATCTACTTCCTGAGTAGGCCGTATTGATGGATGAGTTGACCCAATCTTATAACCATAACTACTCAAAATTGATTTTCTCTATTGTGATGCATCAGATAAAGAGTGAGTTCTAGCCTGGCATGCATACTAGATATGCTAGTGTGGTGTTAGTAGAACTTTCAATGTACCTGCCTAGAGTTTCTTTCTTTCTTTTTTTTTCATTTTTTTTTTTTGAGTTAAACTGATTCTATTCATCTTGAACACGGGCCACTGTGATGACTCCATTATGCCCTGTTTCTCAGGTTTGTGCAGTTCCATCCAACTGCTTTAGCTGATGAAGGGCTTCCAATAAAGGCAACTAAGAGTCGTGAAAATGCATTTCTTATCACAGAAGCTGTTAGAGGGGATGGAGGTATCCTCTATAATCTAGACATGGAAAGGTTCATGCCCCTATATGATGAGAGAGCAGAACTTGCTCCCAGAGATGTGGTTGCAAGAGGTATTGACGATCAACTTAAAAAACGGAATGAGAAGTATGTGCTACTTGATATTAGTCACAAACCAAAAGATGAGATTCTTTCCCACTTTCCCAATATAGCTGCTGAATGCCTCCGGTTTGGGCTGGATATAACTTGTGAACCAATCCCAGTTGTCCCTGCTGCTCATTACATGTGTGGAGGAGTACGTGCTGGGCTCCATGGAGAGACAAATGTGCATGGCCTGTTTGTGGCTGGTGAGGTCGCTTGCACAGGGTTGCATGGTGCAAATCGATTAGCCAGCAATTCATTATTAGAGGCACTTGTGTTTGCACAACGTGCTGTGCACCCTTCAATAGATCACATGAGCAACTCAAGCTTTGACATCCATGCTTTGGATTCATGGTCCCATCCAGTTGTGCCCACGCCACTGGGAGATGATGTAATGGAAAATATAATACGTAGGACAAAAGAAGTGAGGAAAAAGCTGCAGTTGATCATGTGGGAGTATGTGGGAATTGTGCGGTCAACCAGCCGGTTGAAGTTGGCAGAGTGGAGGATTGGGGAGCTAGAGGCAGAGTGGGAAGAATATCTATTTCGGCAAGGGTGGGAGCCAAGAATGGTGGGACTCGAGGCATGTGAGATGAGGAACCTCTTCTGTTGTGCAAATCTGGTCGTGAGTAGTGCACTTGCTAGGCATGAAAGTCGTGGTCTTCACTTCATGGTAGATTTCCCACATGTGGATCAGAGCAAAAGGAGTCCCACAATTATCTTCCCCAGTTCTCCTGTGAAGGGTACATGGAGCTCTCAGCAAGTCCAGAAGCAATACCTGAGTGCATGACCAACAATACAAAGCAATTGTCTTATTTTTCAAGTATGTTCATCATTCCTGACAAGATTTCTATTTTAAAACCTCATGTATGAAGCAAATTGAAAATTATGCTCATTGAATGAAAAAGCCTTACAGGAACGGGTCTTACTTTTTATGAACAGATCTTTGAGGAAGGTGCATTAGATGAGGAACTCATTCAAATAGAGAAAAGTTCCATTGACATTTAATGATTCAATTTTGTCCTTTGTGTAAATTGTTGGCTACATTTGGTATTGTACTTTGGCTGCACTCATAACATGTGCATTCATATAAGCCAGTATATGATAATGTGAATAATAAGCTAGAGTGAACTGGAAACTGAACTGGTTGCAATAGAATAGCTGGTACAGCACCACTTATCAGATTATTATGGCATAGCATGATGGAATTTCCAGGGCATACAAAGTAGGGTTTGTTTCTGGCAATATAGGTTGCTCACTCTCGGTCAGCTCCTCAAACAACATGCAAAAGTTTTCAACAATCTTAGAGAGATGCATTCAGATCCTTCAGTATGCGAAAGAAGCATAAGAGTTACTTGTTGGCCGAGTTTGGTGTAATATTAACATTCCGAAGAGTGTACTTTCTAATCTCCTTTCAAAACTCTGTTTTTCTACATAGGAAGGGCAAGAATTATTCAAACAGGGTCCAACGCCTCTTTCCTGGGCATAAAATCCATTTTCGCAGTCATGGATTCTGTCACGTAGGTATTTTAACTTGCAGGGTCATGGCTTCCATCGTCCAAGGTATTTTATCTGAGAAATACTTGTAAGATGGGTTAGAGGCAGCTAAACTCCCTTAACCAAGGCACGGCTAATATTCTCCCCCCCTCCCCCCATTCTTCTTCTTCTTCTTCTTTGATAATAAACATTCACTAACTATCAAGTATCAACAAAAAGACTGGGCATTCCAAACTTCTCCATCGAAGGCAACTCAGCAAACACCATAAAATGGTTAGGAAAACAGGAGGCTGGACCATGGAGACTAAGTCACTTCCTAGCAGAGGCAAGGGATCTATTGGCTTCTAAGAACGAACCTCTGTACTGGATTCCAAGGGATTTAAATGCCACCGCAGATGGATTAGCAAAATTAGGTACTATTCTGAAGACATTGTATTGTGACAAATTTCCACCTGTAATTTTTAGGGGCCTGACCCCCGTTTTGTACTCTTACACCTTGTGTACCCCCTATTTCTTTTAATGAAATCTGTTAACTTCCTTAAAAAGAAAGAAAACAAAAACAAAAAGACAGTTTACATAGTGTTCAAACCACAAGCCAGGGTGGTGGGAGTATTCCACTAGCAGGAGACTTGTACTAACAACCAGCTGACATCTTCCAAAAAAAGGTTTTAGTTAAAATCTATAAAGCTCAGCTTGGAAGGAATACAAATACAAATATATAGAGTGCAAAACCTTGTATTTTGTATTATTTTGAATGTATTTGCACTCTACATATTTGTAGTTGTACTCCTTCCAAACTGAGCTTAAAATGACAAATTATTAAAACATCCTATTTCCTTAATCATCTTGTTACCTTTAGGTAGTCTTTTGTTCCTCGGAGAACAAGTGAAAGGAAATTTTACCTTGGAGGATGGATAGAGAAAGTGAAGCATGAGGCAAGAATTACAGCGATGAACCTGGGTATCTATGGTCTTCTAAGGCAAGAATTAAGGACCTAACGTTTGACATTTTTTTTGGCACAAAATGACCATTCATATTGTTGAACTCTGAGCTAGGCGCCTGCATTCCTCAACTAAAGAGAGACACTTCCATGGGAACATGAAGATACAAGTCCGAGGAATCTCCCCGGAGAGTTGAATTTTATAGTTTTTCTTGACGCAGCGGGCAGAGCTCTTACCTGCTGGTGCTAATTTTTCCTCGTATAAAAAAAGGGACCATTCATAGACTTGAGCCCACATTCTTTGAGAAAATTTTGGCTAAATTCGCCAGCCTGTCTGTCAACAGGACTCTCACTGCTAAGTGTCAGTACTGGATGCATGGTTGGGTGAACTAACCAACCTGTTATGAGGGGGAAGCCCCGGGCTGTTGAACGTGGATAGTCAGTTTCTTGCATTCACAGTTTCACACACCTGGAGAAGTTAACGAGGAAATGCAGCCTTGAAGAGTAGTCACAGGGCTGGAGGAAGCACGAAGTGGATGGAGATTTATTTATTTTTCAGAAACAATGTGGATTTGTTAAAGATATATCAAGGTTCACCAAAATTAAAGAAAACAAAACCAAATTTTCAGAATGAGTAGGACGGATTTATCTTTTTAAATCTTGGTCCTCGATTAGTCAATTAATTGGAAAGTGATTGCCATTGGAAAGGTATTAACAAATCAGGTATTGCCATTGGAAAGGTATTAACAAATCTTGGTCCTCGATTAGTCGATTAGTCAAGCAGAAGATTTGCCGTCAAAATGCTAAAGGTCTTATTCTGAACAATCTCTGAGAGTAGTACTTGTTTTAGTAAAAGTGTCATACAATACAAGACATCTACAAGAATTTCTTATCTACAATTCTAGAACACTTACTGACAGTGGCTCAAGTTATACGAGTGTGAAAACGTCACCAACAATTGGCTCAAATTGCAGACATGATTAAACCAGATTCACTTGCTCAATCCACCACATTCCTTGAATCCCATGAATCAACAAATAAAAAACTTCAGATTTCTCTGCGCCATCACCATTAGTGCCTCCAATTTCACACAAATGGAAATCAGGTAGCGAGCTACAAAGATTATCAACATTCCATAAGGTTTTATATTGTATGTTCTTTTTCCTCCTGCAGAAACTAGTATCCAATTTATTCATTCATTTTAAGTGTCAGAACGCCTTTCTGATTGTTACTTGCCTTTACCCAGAATCTACTTTTTGTCTTGGTATCATGAAAAGGGAAGACCTTGGATTTCTAGTTTTATCTATCAGGGTTCCCCAACATATAAGGGAAGACCTTCAGAACTTAACTTTACCACTTATATTTTTGGGATGATATAACCTCCACAAGCAAGTAACCAACTGAAAGGATTATTTCCCATCCATTTGTCTGCACAATGCCCATAGCTCCTTTTCCTTTCCAAAAGGTTTTAAAGTGCCGGGCAGAACTGATTCAAAATAATAATTGGAATCAAACCTCCTCAAATTTAGTTTCCAAACAATCCAGAGTTGACCCAGGGTTTGAACTTCCATGCACCAGATACCTCACATCCGGGTTAGTTACAAGAACCCATGAAACTGGGACGTAAAGTAGAAATATCATCTTCCTCAGTGTCTTGCAAGCAGGAAGGCATTCCCACACAGCAAAAGATCATTAACATTGAAGTTCCTGGACAATCCAAAATGTGGGTAATCACATATTGGTGGTAATATGCACCTAAATCCCACGTTTCCTTTTCTAAGACTCCTAAATATTTAGGGATTTAAATAATGTCTTCATTAACTCCATCATATCCACTGCCTAGTGGTTGTGCCTGAGGAATGTATCCAGCTCTTTTAATCTCTACTGTTAAATTTCCAAGTGTAACATATATATCTTCTGATTGATGATGTGATTGATCATTGGCTATAAATATATGAATTTTATTATTAACTTCAATCCAGCTACAACCAGGCCTCTTTTTAAGTCCCATATCTTTCATGTTGGCTCTAATACTGGTAACATTGTCCAACTTCCCAAAGCCTTCATATATATTAGAGAGAAGAACGTGGTATCCTACACTGTTAGAGTTGAGAGCAAACAAATGCTTAGCAACTTCTTCAGCCAGCTCTTCATTGCCATGGATCTTGCAAGATGCAAGCAGTGACCCCCAAATGCGATCATCAGGCCAGCAAGGCATGTCCATGATCAGACTGTATGCCTGTTCTAGATGTCCAGCTCGGCCGAGTAGATCTACCATGCAAGTGTATTGTTCAAGTTCAGGCCTGATATTGTAGTCCTCAACCATGTTCTTAAAAAGTTCTTGCCCCTTATTAACTCTCCCAGTATGGCTACATGCAGAAAGAATAGCTGTAAAAGTTGCACGGTCTGGCTTCACACCGGCTGCTTTCATCTGATCAAACAAAGCAAGCATGTCATCTATCCGGCCATGCACCCCAAGGCCAGATATCATTGAATTCCATGATATTTCATTCCTTTCAGACATTTTCTTGAATATATGCCAGGCACTGGTTATGTCTCCACACCTGGAATAAGTGGCTATTAGGGAATTGCTAACGAGGACATTATGGTCAATTCTGTTTCTAATAAGATATGAATGGATTTGTTTGCAAAAGATCAGTACTGATAAACGGGCAGAAACTGTTAGGATATATGAAATTGTTACAGTATTGGGTCTGATGCATTCATATTGCATATCACGAAATGCCTTTATGGCTTCATCCGTGCGATCCTTCTGAACAAAACCAGATATTAAAGCATTCCATGAGATCACATCCCTTGTGGGTAATCTAACCAGTATTTTTTGAGCAGATTCGAGATCTGAGCACTTTGCATACATATCTGTAAGTGCACTGCCAACAAAAACATTGGAATTGTATCCCATTTTTACTGCCAACCCATGGATCTTCAATCCTTCACGCTTAAGAGTCAGGGATGAACATGCACGGAGAACAGAGAGAACAATAGCAGGATCTGCTAAACCACCTTCTAATCTGAACTTGGCAAACAAATCCAATGCCTTTTCTGGATAACCATTTTGAACACAACCGCCAATCATGGCACCCCAAATAACAAAATTTCGATGGACAGATCTATGGAATATTTTTAGTCCAGCTTCAATATCACCGCATTTACAGTACATGTCTAGCAGTGCCGTCTCAACTCTTGTGTCATCCGCCAGTCCAAATCTGAAAATGTAGCTATGGATTTGCCTTCCTATTTTTGAATCCGATAGTTGAGAACACATTACTAGAATGGCCACCATTGTTGAAGAATCTGGTTCTATCCCCAGTATCAATATATCGTGAAACAACCTCAATGCCTTTAGCGAATACCGACTGTAAACATAACCGAGAACCATCACATTCCAAAGAAGAGCATTTCCCTTCAGTGACTCCCTCCTGATAACGCTCTCAAAAATATGCTCGGCATTTTTTATGTTCCCACATTTTGTGTACATGCCAATCAACCTATTAACCAGAGAAGGATCAAGATCCAACCCATTTTTAATGAGAAAAGCATGAATTTCTTGTCCGTGGATTACAAACCCACATGAAGTGCATGAGGAAAGAGCTGAAAGACAAGCTACTCTACTAGGTTTGTCACCAAATTCCTGCATCATTCGGCGAAACATTTCTAGCGACTGCTTTGGCTGCAATGACTGATCGAAACCAGATATCATAGTATTCCAAGAGACAAAATCTCGGTCCGGTATATTCTCAAACAGATTAAGTGCATCTTCAGCCGCCCCACATTTCCAGTACAAGGCTAAAAGTGAATTGGCGACGTGTATATCAACCAAAGCTCCGAGTTTTAAAACATACCCATGAATTTGCCTCCCCTTTCTCAAATCAAAAAGCTCACCAAAAGCCTTAATCAAACATGGAAAACAGGACATTTCTTCTACAGGGAGGCCGTTATTCAGGATTTGAAGATAAACCACAATTGCATCCTCGAATAATTCGTTCGCCGTAGACTCTCTAATCATCTTATTAGCCAAAGATATATCGAGTACCGATTGATTCTTCAGGAAGAAGAGTCTAGAAGCTGATTCCTGAGGACGGGTATCATCGGCTTCTATGGGACTAAGGTTCTGCAACGTTAAGTTGCAAAGGACTGACGATAATTTTCTTTCCGTAATAAATGTGTAGAAACGAGAAGTGTTGTTTTGTGAGTTGGAGCATACCTTAAGGCGCCCACTGAGTTGGTGGTGTTTGATGATAAGAAAAGATGGCTGAAACGCCACTGAATTTGGCGAAAGAGTTGAAACCACCACCATTTTCTTTCTGTTTGGTGATAAGTCTTTTCTTTTCTCCGCCCCCCTCAGTTTGTTCCATCCAAAACTTGAAGATTCAAACTTTTCCTCCATCCATGACTAAACACGGTGTAAACTATAAACATGCAGCTGCAACTCGAACAGGCGACAGCGCTGGGATATAGCTAAGTAGGGGTGTAAACGATCGAATTCGAATTGGATCGGCCACTATCCGAATTCGAATCCGGTTAGAAAATCCGATATCCGAATTCGATATCCAACGGATATTGAAAATTAATATCCGAATTCGAATTCGATTAAATATTCGAATTTGATTAATTAATAAATATAAAAATTAATATTTTATTGATATAAAGTATATAAATATATAAATTATATAAAATATTTTATATATTGTATATAAGAATTAAATAATTGGTCGAATTCGAATATTTATCGAATCGAATCAGGTCATATCCGAATTCGAATCCGATTCGATTATATCAAATATCGAATTCGAAATCGGATTTTTGAATACCGTTGATACACTTATAGCTAGGGATGGGAATTATTCGGTTAAAACCGAAATTGGTCTAATAATACACCTCTGCACAAGCCATCTGGGCCCGTAATCGGTAATTGCCCTAAACGTCCGGTTCAACCCGGCATATATGATCTCAGATTTGCTATGTACCCACATGCTGTTCTCACATTCTTACCCACAACACATTGAGTCCGGATCTTCTACCAACACCATCAGGTTGAGACACCTCTCTGAAGACACACTTTCATCCTTCTCACTAGTGAATGACCCCATAGAATCATTAATGTTAAATTTATATTATGGAATCAATAATGTTAAATCTATATTTATTAATATTTTAAACAATTATTAAAATTTTAAGAAATATTTATTTCAAAAAATAGCTTTTCACTAATTATTAGAATATGGATAGTTTTCTTTTGTTATGATACGTAAAGGGTTAATGATTAACTTAATTTGATAGATTTTTAGGAATAGATTGAAAATGGTGGTAGTGGGTTGTGGGCTTTAGCAACTTCTCAGAAAACGCCATGTGCTTGAATGGTGGGGGGCTATAGGTGGGTAGTGGGGTTTAGTAGAAATTTCTCAGAAATTGTCACATGTTTAGTTTTTTAGAATATGAGAAGGCCACTTGTCTAAATGGTAGTAGTGGGGAAAATCCCCAACAACCTATGCTGTGGAGAGAATTTATGGGATTGCCACGTTACCATAAGAATGGGTAAATTAGTAATTACATGTTAATTTATTTTTACTATAAACCAAAGCATGGGCGTGAATAGGTGAATTGCCTAGAAGGTGCCCAGCCCAGAAATTGTCTCAACAACCTATGTTGTTGGCCCCAACAGCCAAGGTTAATAAGTGGGCTATGGGCTTTAGTATCAATTTMTCAGAAAATGGCATGTGTCTAAATTTAAAAAAGCGTTTGAATGGTGGGGGCTGTAGCCAATGTTTAATTCATCCTGTTAGCTCTCAAATGTAATTTCTTCCATCTCATTTTTAATCTTTTGCCTGAACATTGCCAAAAGCTTGCCGCCTAGACCTATCCTCTCATCTTTGTTCCGCGGGCGACCGGCGACGGCAACAGCGACGAAGATTCTAAAACCAACGGGGAAAATCCATTTCACATCATTAGAAAGATCATTTCACTCAAAAAAATCACTCTAACAAAAACCATTTTTACTTAGACATGCATAAGAGAAACTGTAAATGCTATTATGCCAGATTATTATCAACGAAACAAAATTTCCTGACATTGGTTTCTTTTTTTATCTGGTTCGGAAATCAAAGCATCTCATGGGCACAAAAGTTATGAGTGAGGATCTCCAATGAGAGTAATCATCGGTGGAGTAAACTGCCAGTGAAGTTGAAATCAAAATCATCCATTTGCTGTGCTAGTTTCTTTTTTTAGGACGATGGGTTTTGAGCAACCTACAAATCAAAGAAAGGGTCTCAGTCAATTGTGAATCATGAAGAAGCTTCCTTATTTCTTGCCTTTCATCATCTTCTCTTTTCTTCTGTCTCCCAATGTCTTGCTGCAACACCATGTGATGGCTCTGCCACTTTACACACTAATTCGCGGTGGATGGAGACAGGCACCGGGTGAAGCTGGCGTGCGTCAATTGGGGGGGGGGGGCACACCTCAAAGCCATGGTGCCCGATGGCCTGAGCATGCAGCCGTTGGACATGATCTCGAAGCAGATTGTGTCTTTGCGTTTCAACTGCGTTCAGCTCACGTGGTCACAGTTAATGGTCAAGGACAGAGTCTTCGGTTACTGTCCGTTAACCATTCAAGAACCTTGGTCTTCTTGATTCCATTGCTGGCATCCAAGTCAACAATCCGTCTTTGCTTGATATTCCCCTTGTTTCTGCTTACCTGGTAGACTGGCCTACTTTCCCTTGTCAAATTAAAATATGAAATCTTATTCGCATTCCGATTAAGTAAAGTCACAGACTCACTGTGTGAATGATTTCCAACAGAAAAGGGATGGGAAGAGATTGGCACAGGTGAGGGGTCTTGGAAACCCTCCTCTGTGCCAGGCAAAGATGAGAGAAGATCATTGATGATGGTGAGTGTGGCCATCGCCAGTGTGAATAATTACCGACAGAGAGATTGGCGTAGGTGGCGATGGCCTGGTGGGTCTTGGAAATCCTCTCTGTACTGGGCAGAGATGAGAGAAGGTTGCCATCGGTTGTTAGAATGGTTGCTATCGATTGCTTTATGAAAGGAATAAAACAAGTGAAACAGCAAGGATCGCCATTGCCTTCACTGGTGAGAATAATCTCCTCAGCAGAGCAAAGATGATAGGAGAGGTCCAGGGAAGGGTTTTGACAATGTTCGGGTAGGAAATTAAAATGGGATGGAGGAAATTGAAACCGGATTCAATCAGTGCAAAGCCAGTTCAAACAACCATTATAGCCTTGCATTGGGGATATCTCTCAGAAGTATGGAGATGTTTCAATGCAAGGCTGTAAAGGCAGCTCGAACGGTGTTCGAATAGGCCTTCCACTGACTGAAGCTGATCTCGAAGAAATTATGTTTGAGAGATAACGGGATGGATGAAACACGTGTCACTAACTGGTATTGTTTGTAGAAGATTTGGCCTCCAACACATTACATCTGTGCATTGAGAATCTTTCTTGGGAGATGTTCCCAACACATTACATCATACCATTTATAGAGTCCCTTACAGCCATGCATTAGAAATATCTCTTTATCAAAAAAAGTATACAAATACAGATTCTCAATGCATCGCTATAAAAGGTTGTGAGAATGGTGTGAGCACTGAAGCTGATCTCCAACAAGTGGAATTCTGTTGTGGGTATCAGGGTATGTGAGATCGAACAATTTGGGGTAGCAGATCTGGACCACATAACTGGTATTAATCATAGAAGCGGTGACCAATTAAATGGTATTTATCAAAATTTAGGAGGGATTCTGATTGATAATTGGTATTTATTCACGTACCTTCCAGGAGCCACGTGAGCGCGAACTAGGAGTGATCGGATCGCGCTACATCAACATCAATTGTCACTTTCTTTGTGAATAAATTCAGAGTAAAGAAATTCAATCTTGTTATGTGTCCAGCAAGGGTTTTATTATGATACCAAAAAACTTTAACCAATAAACCGGTATTACAAAAGTTATCCCAATCAGGTGGTATTTATCAAAATTTATGACATGGTTTTGATTGATCAAAGCTCTTCTGTAACTATGTCCTTTGGACAGCATAAATTTTCCCACCTAGCAAAACCCGCTTGAATGCTTATGAACTAAGGCTATTGTGCTGAACAAATTAGGGAGTGTTTGACAATGATGAGGGGTAATTTGGCCTAACCTGTTAGCATGTGGACATGTGGAACAACCTGATGATTAAACGATAATTCAGCACTTCCGACCACCTCATCAGCAAGCTAGGTCAGTTCTGGCATCTTGGGCACCTCGGCTAGGACTGAGGTCCGAGTAGCTCGTGGTGTCTCAACCTATCGAGGTGCCACATAGCCCACTTCTAGAAGCTAGCCAGCTGTCTCCGGCCTTTTTGGGATCATGTCGCACGTCCGCAAGCCTTATTCTTTATCTCACTTGGATCGGATGGACTCGATAAGATTTATCAGTTCACACAAAGTCCATCTCCAGGTGCAGAACGGACTCCGGTTAACGCGGGCCAGGGATCTCGGATGTGTTTCGTGAGCCCTACGACGGCTTGCCTATATAAGGGCTTTACCTCCAACCTTACAAGGTACGCGCTATTTAGCTCTCTATTTCTCTCACTTACAAAGTTTTCAAGCTCGCAGTCACTCTTCGCTAACTTAAGCATCGGAGTGCCCACACTGGGTAAAGCACCCAGGGTCCTCTGGTCGTGTTTTCT